GGGATGGCCCCCTGGGGAGAACAGAGAGGCGGTGCACAGCCGACTGGCGAAACGAGGCTGCGCGAGATCGTACATGGTGCTGGAAGCACCAACTCAAGAGGCCCCTGCAGAGCAAGCTGCCGCGGGAGCCGGGACGGAAGAAGGGGCATGGACAATCGGGGCGGGGTTGACTGCAGAACAGGCGGACCGCATGCGAGAGATGTTGAAGCGACACAGGAGAGCCTTCGCCTATACGCTGAAGGAACTGGGCAGAAGCAAGGTCGGAGAGATGAAGATTGACCTCACCTCGGACACACCCACCTTTCAGCGGAAACGGCGGATGACCAGGGCGGACGAGGAGCTGTGCAAAGAAAAGTGCAAGGAACTATTCGAAGCGGGGCTAATACGGCGGTCCACATCCGAGTACGCAGCGGCGACGGTGATAGCAGCGCGAAAGGACGCAACGGGAGAAGTCCTATCCAGGCGCATGTGCGGGGACTATCGCGACCTGAACAAGATAACCAAAGCGAACCGGTACCCAATGCCCGCTCCGGAGGACATCTTTGATAAACTGGTGGGAGCCGTGGTGTTCACCACTCTGGATCTGAGGCAGGGCTTCAACCAGATCCAGATCAGGGAAGAGGACCGCGCCAAAACGGCGTTTCACGGAGTGGACGGACTCCGGGAGTGGAATGGGATGCCCTTCGGAATGCGGAACTCCTCGGCTTTCTTCCAACAAGTGATGGATACGGTGCTGAGGGGTATAGACTGCGCAGCTTGCTACATCGATGACGTGGTCATCTTCAGCAAGGACCAGGAGTCACACCTAGCAGACGTGGAAAGGGTCCTGGGGGCAATCATGAACGCGGGCCTGACGTGCCACCCGGGAAAGTGCAAGTTCGGAGAGAGCACGGTGAAGTATCTAGGGTTCGAAGTCTCAGATGGGACCCTCTCGGTCCAAGAGGCGAAGGTGGCGGTGCTGGACAAGGTGGCGGTGCCGACAGACCGAAGCAGACTGAGGGCAGTCTTGGGGTTCCTGAACTACTACAGGAAGTTCGTACCCAACTTCAGCAAGCGAGCCAGCGTGCTGAACCAGCTGCTGAAGGAGAGCACCGCGTGGAAATGGGGAAAGGAGGAAGATGCGGCACTGAAGGACCTGATGGGAGCAGTGAAAACGGGCCCAGTGCTGATGCTCCCAGAAAGGGAGCAGCCTTTCGTACTGTATACCGACTGGAGCAGCCTGGGCATGGGAGCCGTGCTGTGCCAGGAGACAGAACGGGGAGAAAGGGTGGTGGCGTTCGCGAGCAGGAGCTGCAGCCCGACAGAGGCGAACTACAGCTCATACGAAGGCGAGGGACTGGCGGCAGTGTGGGCGGTGGAGCACTTTCGGGTGTACCTGCAAGGTACCCCGTTCACACTGGTGACCGACCATCAGCCCTTGACCTGGCTGATGACGAACCAGACCCTGACAGGGAGGAACGCAAGGTGGGCGATGAGGCTGCAAGAATATGAGTTCAAAATACGGCACCGCCCGGGCAAGACCCTCCAACACGTGGATGGGCTGTCAAGGAACCCTCCCCCGCCGGAGGGCAGCTCGCCAGCAGCGTGCCTCGTGGCGCTGGCCGGCGGGATGCGGGAGACAGACGAGGCTAAGCACCGAGGAAAGGGGCCTGAAGACGTGTGGGAGGACGCAGATGTACTGCGGTGGGTGAAGGGAGATACCGAGGCCGAGGAGGACGTGGGAGAAAGAGCAAGGGCGCGGGGCAGGCACTACCGGTGGTACCAGCAGCAGCTGCAGGTGGAATCGAAAGACGGATGGAAGTTAGTGCCCGCGCCAGGGCTCAGGAAAGCGCTCATAGAGAAGGTGCACGCTCAACTGGGGCACTACGGACACGTGCGAACGGCGCAACTGCTAACCACAGGGTGGTGGTGGGCGGGCTTGCAAAGGGATGTGAAGGAGGTCGTGGCAGAATGCGAGCTGTGTAGCTGGAATAAGGCTACCCTGGAAAGAGAGCAGCAGGAGCTGCAGTCACTCTTCATACGCGGGCTGGGGTACAGGTGGTCACTGGACCTGGCGGGAGAGCTGCCGCTGAGCCGCAAAAACAAACGCTACGTGCTGGTGACGATCGAGCACGTCTCCAAGTGGGTGGAGGTGCGAGCGCTCAGCAGCAAGAGCTCCGAACTAATCGCCGAAGCGTTCACGGACCAGGTGCTCACGCGTTTTGGGGCATGCGGCGAGGTTCTGACGGACCAGGGAACAGAGTTCCGGGGAGCATTCGACCAGCTGCTCAAGCGCGTGGGAATCACGCACCGACGGACCTCGAGGTACCACCCGCAGGCGGATGGGTTGACCGAGCGCATGATCCAGACGATCAAGAAGGGGCTGCGAGCCTATGGGGAAGAGCATAAGAGGGACTGGGACCAAGAGCTGCACTGGGTCGCAGCAGGGTACCGATTCAGCAAGCAGGCGGCCCTCAGGGACTACTCGCCGTACTACTTGCTACATGGGAAAGAGCCCATGCTGCCGGTCAACGCCCCAAAGGTCCTAACTGGAATCGTGAGGGCCGGCAGCCCTGAGAAGTGGGCAGCCTTAGCGGACTGCCGAGCAAGGTACCTGAAGAGAATCATGCCCGCCGCGCTCAAGAACCTGCACACGGCGCAGCTGAGGGACGCGAAGAGGTACCAGCAGAGGCTGCTGCAGACTGGGAAGGGGACGGGCAAAGCCGTGGAGAGTGGGACAGAAGTGTACATCCGAAAGGCTAAAAAGGATACCCTAGATGTGGGGCTCTCGGTTGAGCGGTGGGTGGTGAAGGAGGTGAAGCCGTCGGGAGTGCTCGTGCTCGAGTCGGAAGAAGGCAAGCAGCGAGATGACCACGTGACTAACGTGGCACGAGCGACGGGGACCAAAATGAAAGGAGTTCCTCATGACCAGCAGCAGGAGCCGAGCAGGTCTCGGAAGGGGGCAAGTGGGTAGCTCAGTTGGGGAAGCATGAACCTGGGCGAGGAAGGACGGGGACGGAGAAGAAGAGACGTGAGCAAGGAGAGAGAGAGAGAGAGGCTAAGGCAGGAGAGACGACCCAAACAGGAGGACAGGGGAGCAGATTCCAGGAAGCATGAGAAGAAGCGGAGGAAGGGCCTATGGCATCCGACAGCTGTCGCACGAAACAAGAAAGTATAGAGGTTTCTGTTCCGACCGACGGGGAGTGTAGAAATATGTTACGCAAGGGACTATACCAATGCAGTATATAGCGAGGATGCAGGGGAGCAGGGTGGGACAGCTGGAAATGGGACAGCTGGAGCAAAGCCGAGTCAGTGCGGGAGCAATGCAGACGACTCGCGGGTACAGTGATGGCAGCGAAACTAGGGTTTCACGTGAATCATGAGGGGGTGGATGGGGGTTGAGGAGAGAGGTCACCAGCAGGGCCGCTGACGGTGTGGATCATACTTGTACATATGTGGGCTGATCGCACGGTTGCTATGAACAGAATGTCGGATGAAGTGTGGTGTGCTTGGTGTATGTTGGCGTGTGTGTGCAGGAACTCGCATGGCCCCACGCCCTGCGCAAGAAGTCAGAGCCTAGCCAAGATTTGCCCTGTACATAGGTAGCTAGCCTGCTCTAGACTCCTTGCTTTGTTTGTTTGTTTTCTCGTATAGTGGAGTGGTGTGTTTGCTATCTTCCTAGCAGAGCCAGCCAGAGTGTGAGAAGCCTGTCGTTAGATCTGAGGATTTTTCGAGTGGGTAGCTCAGTTGGGGAAGCATGAACCTGGGCGAGGAAGGACGGGGACGGAGAAGAAGAGACGTGAGCAAGGAGAGAGAGAGAGAGAGAGGCTAAGGCAGGAAAGACGACCCAAACAGGAGGACAGGGGAGCAGATTCCAGGAAGCATGAGAAGAAGCGGAGGAAGGGCCTATGGCATCCGACACAATTGGATGGTTGAATGCCCTGAAAGCAAAGGGGCCAACCAGGACAACGAAGAACGTTTATCCCTGCCCTGAACCATTTGGTGCGGTCCCTGGATCCCCCCTCTGACCCTGAACCAGGGCCGCACCAGTCCCGCACCCATTTTGCCTGGGAGTGGGGGATTGCGAGTGCGTCACTGGTTCACCGTTCTTTTGGGCAATGATGGGCGGACTGCACTGCACAGCACTCGCTAGGTCCGGGAAGGGGTTCAGTTTCCCGAGCCTGGTAGCAAGGAATACACCCTCGAAAACAAGGCTTCTAGGATCTCCGGTAGAACGCCGCACGAAGCATCAAATGGTGCTGTGCGGGGGGGGGGCACACCAAATAGTGCGGCAACAGAACAGGGCCATGTAATGTTGTTCGTATCTGCGACCACGCAGCTTGCCTGTGCATCCATGCGAAGCTTTGAACCTCATTTCGCGAAGGCTCTGTAGTCGAAGTAGTAACGGAGGGTTGATCGCCTAAGTAAATCACCCTCGTGGTATTTCGTTGTGCAACGAAACCCCCGTTTGGTTGCAATGGTTTTCGTGCGGAAGGAGTCTTCACTATTTGTGGCAGCAATAGCTATTGCTGGATGTCAGCACTAGATGGTTGGATGACGGCTTACGCTGTCAAGAACTGTCACCCGAGCCGCACCCTTACGTCGAAACAGCTTGACCCGCCCTCACCAACGTGACACGAGTGGCGCACCCAGATGAAACCTGGAGGCGACTAGAGTTCGGAACATTGTGGCGGGATTTCGCGCCACTGAATTCTCGCGTGGTTATTGCGGCAGTGACGGCGACAGGCAAACGGATTTCGCGCCCCTCTAGTTGTTGTTAGAGAATCCTCTAGATTGCCGTTCTGCGCTGTAGCCGCCGCTAGTGCCACGCTGTCGCCTCTCTGAGTTGCGGTCGCGATGATGTGGCTGCCACGTGTGCGCGTCGCCATGCGACGGCCGTATCCGTTGCGGCGAATGCGGCGTCGTCATTTACTGTAGCAGGCGACACCAGGTGCGCGCTGTAGCGGGGAGGTGAGGCGAGGCGAGCAAGCAGCGACCAGGGCTCGTTGGAGCAGCGCGAAATGTCACGCGCGCAGCTCACCCGCGCTGCTTCCAGCCGCCCGTTCGCACCCCAGCTCGTGCTGCCAAACGTCAAGGCCCTCGTCACGCGAGGCTCAGATTCACTCGCGAGGCTCAGATTCACCCGCGAGGCTCAGATTCCCGCGAGGCTCAGATTCACCCGCGAGGCTCAAATTCACCCGCGAGGCTCAGATTCACCCTCAAGGCTCAGATTCACTCGCGAGTCCTTGTTTGGTTCTCCTCCCCCTCTCCCTCCGCTCCTTTCCTCCCTCTCTTCGTCCCCACCTCTTCTTCCCCGCCCTTTTCCTCTTCCCCTGTCCTCACTCCCCCTCTTCTGCCCCTCTCCTGCCCCACTTTCCCCCTCTCTCCATCTCCTCTCACGCTCCCCCCTCCTCTCACTCTCCTTCTTGCCCCACCTTTACGAAACGGTCCTTCCTTTTCTCCATCCCACATCCCCCATGCCCCATGCCCCATCCCCCATGCCCCATGCCCCATGCCCCATGCCCCATGCCCCATCCCCCATCCCCCATGCCCCATGCCCCATCCCCCATGCCCCATGCCCCATCGCTTGGCGCTGCAGCTGCAGGGAGCACCGGCTGTGCTGGATGCCCCATACCCATGCCTCATGCCCTTAACCCATGCCCCATGCATCCCCTCAGGCTTCCTACTGGCGGCAGCACGAGCAAGGGGGGGGTGGCCTGGTCGCCTGGTTCATCACCTTTCCTAATACTACATCCCCTATACCCCTTCCCCTTTTCCCCACTCCCCGTGCTTCCCCTCAGGCGTCCCATTGGCGGCAGCATGAGCAAGGGGGGGAGTGCCATCGCTTTTCACTGCAGCTGCAGGGAGCACCGGCTGTCATGGCCCTGCCCTTCCCCTTCCTGCACCTCTCCATCATCCAGGTGCGGTGTGGTGCAGTGCGGTGCTGTGCTGTGTTGGACCTGCTTTTCCCCTTTGCCACACTGCCCATGCCACACTGCCCATGCCACACTGCCCATGCCACACTGCACATGCCACACTGCCCATGCCACACTGCCCATGCCACACTGCCCATGCCACCACTGCCATGCCGCTTATCTCTCATGTGCCTCTGTTCACATGGCAGTGCTTGTACCACCCCACTGTGCTTCACATCCCCATTGCCTCCATCTCGTCCCCCATGCCATGGCTTAATATGTGCCTGTCTGTGCAACCGGGGGGGTGCATGTGTGCTGCATGCGGGGTGCAGGTGGAGCAAGGCCGTCACACAGTGTGCTCCGTCCTCACCTCCCTCCACCTGCATGCCCGCGGTCCCTACGCTGCCCTCTGCGGTCCGTAAGGCGCCCACTCTTCCGCTTGCTCTTCCCAATCTCCCTCCCACCCTCTCCTTCCCACTCTCCCACCCTTCATTCCCTCCCTCTCCTACTCTCTCCTTCTCCACCTGTCTCCCATTGTTCTCATCACACCGCAGTTTTTCGTTCCTTCTTTCTCCCTCGCCTTTCCAGTGGGTTGTGAAACGGACCATCGGTTGTACCCACTTCTCAGCACCTGACCAGGTGGCTGCTCAGCAAGCTTTTTTTCAACCAACTCGCACTGGTTCTCAAGCCAATACTCATTTGTATTCATTTCCACTTTTTTCTTCGCCACTGCCCTGACAGACTGCTTGCCCGTTCCTGATCTTCTACCCTCCCTTGACGAGGGCCAGCTTGACGAGGGCCAGCTTGCTGCACGCCTGCCAAGCAGCCCATCAGCCCACTCCGCCTCTTGTGATGCACCCGCACCTTCGGCCACTCATCCGCCGCGTGTGCACCCCACACTGCCCCCCTCCCTCCCGCCTCTCCCCTTCTCCCCTCTCTCCTGGCGCAGCTACTTTCCTGGAGGGGCCTTCCCCTCCACTCGCCCGCTGCACTGCTGCTGCACACGGTATGGGCGTGAGAAGGGTGTGAGGTATGGGTGTGTGAGGTATGGGTGTTAGGTATGGGCATGAGGTATGGGCATGAGGTATAAGTATGAGGTACGGTGTGGTGTGGTGTGTAGGGTAAATATTTTGGAACCTTTGCTTTGACTCTCTTTAGAGAAAATCGTTCCTTCATTTCCTTCTGTTCAACAACGAGGCACGCATTCACTGTCCCCACCGCACTCCCCACTTCGAATCCCCCCCCCTTGCCCATCCCCCCCCCCACCAGTCGCTCACCATCCTCCTCTCCCTCCACCTGCTCCTCCCTGCCACCACTCAATGCCCGGGCCACACGCCTTCAGAAGCTGACGCACCCTCAGGGGCTGACACGGCTTCACGCATTGCAGTTGAAAGGGAGCAGAGAGGGGGAGCGGATGAGAGCGCAGGTGCAGAGGGGCAGCAGCAGTGCAGGCGGTGTGGTCTGACCTCTCGCCCCTCTCTCTGCATCCACGTGATTGGTGCGCATCCATGGGTGCGCCCATTACCCCCCTCCCCCACCCCCCCCTTTCCTCTGTTTCTAAGCCACATATGCCAAGCAATCACCCATCTCGTTTTTTTCCCTTCTGCTACACTCTGTGTGTTGCCGGCTGTGTCATCGCAGCTCCATCATCTCTTCCTTCTCCCCCATCTCCAGTTGTACCAGCTGCCGGTTACCTTGCCTCACTATCGGTCCTCCCCTATCGGTTGCCTTACCTCACTCCATCACACTTCCATGCATGCATGCTCGTACATGGGCACATGTGACTTCACACCCTCACTGCCTCTCCTGCATGGCAAACAGGCAGGCAGGCAAGCAGGAGGCAGGCAGGCAGGCAGGCAAGCGGGAGGCAGGCAGGCAGGCAGGCAGGCAGGCAAGCAGGCAGGCAGGCAGGCGGGCAGGCAGGCAGGCAGGCAGGCAGGCAAATAAGAAAGCACGCAGGCAGGAAGGCGGGCAGGCAGGCAATAAGGCAGGCAGGTATGCAGGCAGGCAAGTTGGTAGGCAGGCAGGCGGGCAGGCAAGCAGATAGGCGGGCAGGCAAGCAGTTAGGCGGGCAGGCCTCAATCCAAATGTAGAACTCCTCAATAACCATGTAATATAGCGCCGTTCACAAGCCTGGCCATCCAGTAACAGCATAACGCACCATGCACTCGCCACGCCAACCACCATTTTGAGTCCACAGCCCTACCATGCCCGTTGCCTCCCAGCACCTCACAAACTGCTTGAGGGGTAGGGGAGTGAAATGAGGTCGGGACATTGAGTAAAGGGTATCATTGCAAGGACTCCGAAAAGGATGGGAGGCCAAAGCTTGCAGGTAAGGCAGAGATGGTGGAGATTTTCGAACAAAAGTTAATTACTCCTCGCTATGGCTTCGCCCGGACTTGAACCGGAGACCTTCAGTGTGTTAGACTGACTTGATAACCAACTACACCACGAAACCCATGTCTCATGGGCAAGTGAGATTACCTCTTATCTTTTTTTTAAATGCTGGACGCCAAGGAGTTGTCGTATGTTCCCCACAGCTTCACCCAACTTCCCCTCGCCTTCCTTCCCCCTCCTGAAACCCCCTCACCACCCACCCACTACACTCTCCACCCTGGCATGTAGCTCACCACGCACTCCCTCTCACCAAGCACTGCACCTGCAAGGGTGGGCAGGGAGGCTCTAGAGGGTGCCTGGCATGCCTCTCACCACACGCTCTATCTACCTCTCACCACACACTCCCTGTACCTCTCACCACGCACTGCACCTGCAGGGGCGGACAGGGAGGCTCAAGAGGCAGCCGCACTGGCAGAGCTGAGAGAGCTGCTGCCTGGAGTGGACACGTGTCTGCACCTCATTGGCCCCAACATAACCGAACGCATGTGAGACCCAGCTCTGGAGCTCAATGTAGTGACGCTTTAGGGGAGTGCATTGAGCGGAGACATGTGGTGCATGTATGGTCGTCCTTTCCTCTTCGTCTTGCTTCATCCGCTGCCCAATCTCTGTAGGTTCACTACTTGCGCCATACACCTGTATGCCCTGCGTGCTTGCTCCATGTGCCACCCATCCCCTGTGCTTGCTCCACGTGCCACTCATCCCCTTGCGTGAACTTCTCATCCTCACGCCCTCTTCATCCCCACTGCCCCCACACCGCACCTCCTCTGCAGGCACGGCAAGCGCATTCTCCCGTCTTTGAGCCTTGCGAGCCACACCCTGCCGAACCACAACATTTCGAACGAAAACCTGCCGAACCACAACCTGCCGAACCACAGCCTGCCGAGCCACAACCTGCCGAGCCACAACCTTCCGAGCCACAAGCTGCCGAACCACAACCTGCCGAGCCACAACCTGCCGAAACCACAACCTGCCGAGCCACAACCACCAGCAGCAGCAGGCGTGGCAGTGCACTTCCACCGAGGCCTCTACCACCACGTGCTGCCCTCCCTTGCCTGCTCGCCACCCACCACTCCCCCCACTGCTGTGCTCGCCAACCCTCCCACCACTAATGCAGTGTGCCCCTGCACCTCACTGCACCTCACTGCACCGCCCTCAGCACGCATCTCCCTTCCATCACAGCGACCAGCCCCAGCAGCCTTCGCATCTCCCCCAGTCATCCCATCAGCAGCACCCGTCCTGCCACTGCCCCACGCTGCTGTTCCTCCCCAATGCGGGCCTGCCTGCCTTCCCCTCCTGGCGAGACACACTGGTGAGTGGGAGGTGGTGAGTGGGAGGTGGTGAGTGGGAGGTGAGTGAGTGGGAGGTGAGTGAGTGGGAGGTGAGTGAGTGAGAGGTGAGTGAGTGGGAGGTGAGTGATTGAGAGGTGAGTGAGTGAGAGGTGAGTGAGTGAGAGGTGAGTGAGAGAGAGGTGGTGAGTGAGAGGTGGTGAGTGAGAGGTGAGTGAGTGAGAGGTGAGTGAGTGAGTGAGAGGTGAGTGAATGAGAGGTGGTGAGTGAGAAGTGGTGAGTGAGAGGTGAGTGAGTGAGAGGTGAGTGAGTGAGAGGTGAGTGAGTGAGAGGTGAGTGAGTGAGAGGTGGTGAGTGAGAGGTGGTGATTGAGAGGTGAGTGAGTGAGAGGTGAGTGAGTGAGAGGTGAGTGAGTGAGAGGTGGTGAGTGGGAGGTGGTGAGTGAGAGGTGGTGAGTGAGAGGTGAGTGAGTGAGAGGTGGTGAGTGAGAGGTGAGTGAGTGAGAGGTGGTGAGTGAGAGGTGGTGAGTGAGAGGTGAGTGAGTGAGAGGTGAGTGAGTGAGAGGTGAGTGAGTGAGAGGTGAGTGAGTGAGAGGTGAGTGAGTGAGAGGTGGTGAGTGAGAGGTGGTGAGTGAGAGGTGAGTGAGTGAGAGGTGAGTGAGTGAGAGGTGAGTGAGTGAGAGGTGGTGAGTTTTTTTTTTTTTTGGGTTGGAAGTACACTATATAAGCATACAGCCACAGTCGTAACTGTTTCCATGGAGGACATAACTACTAACGGATTAAGCAGTTACTCCCCCATTTCCTCCTCTATGGCGGTTTGAAGCGGGCCCGCGGATCCTCCCAGATCGAGCGGAAGCCATCCCTCCACGTCATCTCCTTCTCTCCAACGAAAATGCTGCCCAAGGCCCTAGCCTCGTCAGAAGCCAGATGTCCCCAATCTCTGTCACTCGCCGCGCTTGTCTTGCTCTGCTGCATGCTTTTCCACTTGCTGTAAACTCTCACGTGCCGAGTGAAATTCGCCATAATTTTCCTGGTCACCCTCTTGTACTGGAATTTTTCTTGCCTGAAGACCGCTCCGCATCTCTCAAGCCACAGTTGGTGGAAAGTAATAGCCACCAGGGGCATCCCCGGGAAACACGACCTCGTGCCGGTGCCCCGAAAAAGGAGATCACCCACACACTTCGCCTCCTCCTTGCACCCCAAAACCTTCAACGTCGCCTGAAGCTTACCGACAACCCTTCCCACCTCCGGACACGTCATCAGACAGTGGTCCACCGTCTCTTCTGCCCCACAGTGTGGGCATCTCGCCAAATTGCCTAGGAAGGGCAGCCTGGCCCCCACTTGTAAATTCCTGCTGTGAAGCCGAAGGATCACCTCCCTCGCTCGAGAGGGGACCACCATCGAGTCACGTGTTGCAATGACATCCTTCCAGTTTACTACTCTCCCCATCTCCATTTCCCAGCTGACCTGCTGCTTCGGCTTCCCGGCTGGCTCGTAAATTGCCCTCCTCAGGGTTTTCAAAGCTACCAGCTCCCCTCCTTTGCATAGCACCGACTCACGCAGCCTGGTAAGGTGCTGCCCAAGCGGTCCCAACACCCTCCCGTCCACCACCTTAATCAGAGTTAAACTCGCCGTACTGATAGCAAGGGGGCTAGCGTATGGAACTGGTGACACACAGCCCCGTACAACCTCCACCCTTATCACCACCAGCCTTTCCCCTTCCGTTCTCAAGATCCTCCAGTAGCTCCGCTGTCGCACCCTATCAGCGCCAGTACTCACTAGGTCTGTTGCCTCGAAAATTTCTCCCGCCGACCGCTTGCACAGCAGTTTGTTCCGCCAGTCCACCGGTGCCGCCTGAAACGCCTTTAGCGCCCATCTGGCCCGGGTGTTTCCTCCCATTTCTCTGCTCAGCCACTGAAAACCCTTGACAACCACCGTACCGTCCGGGTTTGTGACAAGCAAGTCCGCCAACTTCATCCCTTTCAAACACTCCGAGCCACGCTGCGCACCGAACGGGCTTCTCCCTCTGAACAGGATCCGATTGTTAAACCAGAGATGCTCCTGCTCAACTTCCCACCTGGTCCCCGGTTCACCAAACAGCGCGAGCTTCCTCTTCCAAAGGACTTGCAGGAAGGCTTTCCACCTCTCCCCACCTCCTTTCCACTGGCTGGCAATACTCTTGTGTGCCCATAACGTCGCCCATCCCAGCGGCAGCGCCGCCGCTTGCTCCATCATCCAGCGCTTAATCTCGCATGTTTCCGCAATGGCTTTGCTCAGGCACTGCAGCGCCATACTGTCGATGCGATCCCTCGGGCTAATCACACCCAGTCCCCCGTTTCTCCTTCTTCTGCAGGTGAGGTCGTAACTCCAAAGGACGAACCTGCGATCTAGCGACGCCTTCCCCCCGGAGACAAAGTTGTGACAGATCCTTCGAATCCTTGTCCAGAAATCCACCGGCGGCGGGTACACCTGCGCTTGGAATAGCAGCACCGGCATCACATACGAGTTGATCACCGCAACCCTGGCCGTCGTCGTGAGTTGCTGAGCCGCCCAGCGCCCGAGCGACCCGCTCACTCTCTCAAAAGCCTTATCCCAAGACGGCCCCGCCTCGCCATTCGGTGTGATCCACACTCCCAGCAACCGCTCTGGTTGATCAGGTTCCGCCGGCTTAAAAGGTAACACACCTTGCAGTTTCCGTTTCCGATTCCTCCCCAGCGGCATTAACACTGTCTTATCCTGATTGATGCGCAGGCCCGACACATCCCCGAAGTCTTTCAACACTTCTCCCGCTCTTCCAACCTGTCCCAGGCCGTTCAGCACCAGCGTTGTGTCGTCCGCGTACCCCAGGTACACCAGCTCACCCTTACCCCGCTTCCGGACTCCAAGTTTCCTCCTCTTAACTTCCTGACACAAGGGTTCCACCGCGCAGATGAACAGATACGGCGCGAGTGGGCAACCTTGCCTCACCCCAACGTCCACACCCAGCCGCTCCCCAAGCCAGCCGTTGACAAGGAGCCGGGTCCCAGCCTCCTTATGCAGCCCTTCTGCCCAGCCGATGAAAGGCTCAGGGAAGCCCATCTTCCGCAGTGTGCTGAAAAGGTACTCCCGCGACACTGAATCGTATGCCTTCTGAAAATCAACCAACAAAAGGTACCAATCCTCCTTCCCTGTCACCGCTGCATCGATCACATCTGCGACCGCAGCCACCGCATCTGACAGTTTCCGCCCTGGCACAAAGCCATGCTGGTCACCTGATATCACCTTCGGTAACACCCCTTTCATCCTGTTGGCCAACACCTTCGCGACAATCTTATACACCGTGTTCAGCAACGTAATTGGCCTGTAGTTCTCCACCCTCTCCTTGTCCCCCTTCTTGTGCAGCAGAATCGTTACCGCCGTCGTGAGGCTTTCCGGAAGCACCGCTGACTTCTCGAAGGATCGGATAAACTGCATCAGGCCCGGCCCAAGGAGATCCCAGTTGCTCTCAAACAGCTCCCTCGGCAGCCCGTCTTGCCCTGGCGTTTTCCCTTTTGGAAGCTCAGCTACTGCCTTCCGTACTTCTTTCTCTGTCCACTGCGCCTGCAGCAGTTCACGGTCCTTCACATCCAACCGCTTGCTCGTGTCACTCAGCCAGTCCTCTCCCGACACCTCCTTGACACTCCCAAACAGGTCACGGAAGAAATCAGACGCTGCTGCCAAAATCTTACTTGCCTCCTTAACCGTTTTCCCCCCTACTGACAGCGCTGCAATCTCTGTTTTCGCTTTTCTTGCTACTATTTTCCCCGAGAGGAGCTTTGACGCCGTCTCACCCTCTAGCTCCCCTTGTATCCCTGCCAGAGTTTGCAGCCAGTCGCGCTTCCCATCCCAATAGGACTTCAGCTGCGCCTCACACTTTACCAGCTGCTCCTGCAGCTCCACATCGCTTGCATCACTCATGTAAGCCTGCTTCAGCACCGCAGCTTTTTCCTCCAAATGTTCTACCGTACGAGCCACCCTCTTCCGTTCACCCTTCGCATACTCTTTCAGCCCCATCTGCAGCCTCTTCAGCGTCTTGTCGAAAACCTCATCCGCTTTCCCTCCCTGCTGCTGCGTTATTTGTTGTGTAATGTTCCTCACCCCTTGGCTGCTTGCCAGTTTTGCCGGCAGCCTCCACAGCCCGGGACCTCTCGTCCTGTCTGCAGACGACGACAGCTTCACCGAAACAGCAAACCAGTGGTCCGTAATCCCTCTTGGAATGTACTTGTGGAAAGCGCCACCGACCAAGCCAAGCATGGATGCCGAAACAAGGGCGCGATCAATCCTCGAACTCGTTTTCGTTGACCGCGAAAAGAAAGTGTACTCCTTCTTCACCGGGTGAAAGGTACGGAAAGCATCATGCAGATCCAAACCAGCACACCCCTTCAGCAACCTCTGATTCTCAGCTCCTGATCCAAGCTTAGATGATTTGTCCAGCTCCGGGTCCTCCACTAAGTTAAAGTCACCCATCATTGCCGTATGTGCCGTCGCAGGTAGCCTATCCAAGAAGGGGAACAGGCAGTCCCTGAAGAAGACACTACGCACCCCAGCTTGCGCCGGTAAGTAGACCGCCACCAGCCGCCATTCCAACTCCTTCCATTTTAGCATAACACTGATTATTCTTCCTGACTCGTGCTTAACCACCTCTGACAGCTGAATCTCCGGTGAGAAGACCAACACCGCAACACCTCCTGCTTTCTGCACCGATGACACTGACGCCATTGCCGCAGGCCTTAGCTGAGGCCAGAAATTGTGATCATCCCCTATTCTCGTATCTGTCAGCACCACCACATCAGCCGCTTTCCTAAGCCACTTCGAACACTTGTTCCGTTTCCCCGCGCTGCCCAAGCCGTTGACATTGAGCGCGCACATCTTGACGGTGTTGGATGTATTCATTTAACCACTGACTGAAGACCCCACAGCATCCACGGGTCATAAGATCGCGTTGATAACACCACACAGCAGAACACAGCTACTACTACTGGCACAGCAACAGCAGCTCCAGAGACAGCTAGCTCTGAGAGCCTTATTCCTGCTACCACCCTGTCACCCCCAGACCGCAGCACATTGCACCCCCTTTCCCCACAGCAGGTCAGCACTTGAAAAACTCCTTCTTCAGGACAGCAGCACCGAGGGCTCCTTTGCTTGCACGAGAGGCAGCTCTTGCCTTGGAGCGGTTCATCTTGTGACGGATGGACGCAACATGAGCAGCAGCAAGTTCGAAACTGGCACCATGCGCCTTCTCGCAAGCATCCTGAACACAAACCCAGTCCTCGCGAGAGCCTCCAGTTGACACCAACACCGTCGCAGGGTCCTTCAGAATGGCTTTCAGACGGTCTGTGACTATCAGAGAAGCCGCTGCGCGCAGGTGAGTAAAAAGGTAAGTCAGTACGATAGAAAGGGATAAGGAGCGAGGAAGGCTTTTGATGCAAGTAGACTGAACCGCCAGCAATACCGTTGATTTCATGAATACGTTTAACCGTTAGGTTCCATTTTCCAATGTTGGCCTGACGGTCAGTGACGTAGTCGTCGTGGTAGCGAGCCATATGATGGCCATTGCAGAAGTCGCACGTGATGGACGGGAAGTGCAGCAGAAGCTTCTTTCCACGCTTGGCCGGCTCTTCGATGAAGTGACGCCAACGATAGCGGTCATTGTCGTGCTGGACCACAAGGCCGCGGACCTTGTCCGTATCCAGTCCAGTGACCGGATCCTGAACACGGTGGAAACCGAAACCCTCCTTGTATGCTGTCTTCCCCCTCTTCATAAGCTTCACTTCCACCAACAGGCTGCTGATGACATCCGACGTCACTTCGGCCGGCACCCCCTTCAACACCACCTCAATCGCATGCGGATGCAACGCGCGCAGCAGGATATACGTCGAGTCTTCCGGGAATTGCCACCCCAGCTCCAGCGTCACCCTCTGAAGCGTGACATGCTCGATCTTCCGCTGCCTGACGAAATAGACATCATCTTCTGACGTGAAGACCACTTGCAGCCGACCAAAACGCGTCTTGGACAGGTAGGCCGGGGGAAGCTTCTGGTACGTCGTAGTGGTCTGCGCAGCCTCCGACAACTCATCCTTCCAGTGATCCAGGTGCGCCGCTACAGAGTCAGCTGTCCTAGGCACTTCGAACTCATGCCTGAAAGGGACAAGTAGCGTTAGCGCAAACTTCAACTTTGAGGCCACAATGCTCATAGACTCTGGATCCGCCTCTTCATCAGGATCATCACTCAAATATCCTTCGTCCTCCTCCTCCGCAACAGGTTCCTCATGAAGCTCTTCTTCGTGAGAACGCGACGAAGAGGCCTGACGCGGTGAGCAGATAGCAGGCTCGCCTTCCTCTGATGGCTGATCAAGCGCATCCTTAAGACCGTTGACTTTCATGAGAGGTGGTGAGTGGGAGGTGGTGAGTGGGAGGTGGTGAGTGAGAGGTGAGTGAGTGAGAGGTGGTGAGTGAGAGGTGAGTGAGTGAGAGGTGGTGAGTGAGAGGTGGTGAGTGGGAGGTGAGTGAGTGAGAGGTGAGTGAGTGAGAGGTGAGTGAGTGAGAGGTGAGTGAGTGAGAGGTGAGTGAGTGAGAGGTGAGTGAGACCGTGCAGCCACTGCCTTCACACGCGCATCACTGCCCCTCGCCAGACCCGCATACTGCGCCACAGGATATCACAAGGCATGCTGCAGGGCAGTGATGCGCGTGTGAAGGCAGTGGTGCCACAGGGCTCACTCTCCGTCATGCAGGAATGTGTGGTGCATCATGCATGCCACCCACCACCCATTCCTCCCACCCCTCACATCACACCACCCTGACCCCCCCCACCTGCTGCGCCCCACCAGCCAGGCCCTCATGGTGCAGCATAGGCTGCCAGGACTCATTGCGGCCCATAGCTACGAGGCAGGAAGGGGGGCTTCACCACCCGCTTCCTCCCCTTCCTCCCACTCCTCACATCGTCATGTTTCCTCGTCTCGCCCCTCTGCCCCCCGCCAGGCCCTCATGTTGCTGCATGGGCTGCCAGCGCTCATCACGGACGAAATTTAACCTTAGATCATTTCCACCTTTTCAGCCAACTCCAGAACCAATCTAGTGGCCTGGCCACGAGGCATGACCGGTGACTGGCTGCACCAGTGGGTGGCAGCACTCATCACGGACTACAGCCACGAGGCAGCAGAGAGAGCTCCTTGCTAGACCCTCATGCCTCGCCCCTCTGCCCCCTATCTGCCCCCCCCCCACAACAGGTCCTTCTGCTGCAGCACGGGCTGCCAGCGTTCATCACGGACTACAGCCACGAGGCAGCACAGCGAGCCAGGAAGCCAGTGAGGCACCCCGGGGCACCACAGGTGCTGCCTGTGGTGGAGAGTCAGTCAGTCAGTCCTCGCAGCACCGTGCTGCCCCATCCCTTATCTCCCACCAGGTCCTCATGCTGCGTGGTGGGGTGCCAGCACTGGTCTCGGACTTCAGCCACGAGGCAGCACAGCAAGCCAGAGAGGCAGAAGGCCACCACAGGCTCCTCAGCCAGTCCTCACAGCATCGGGCTGCCCCGTCCCTCTTCTCCTGTCAGGTCCTCATGCTGCGCGTTGGGGTGCCAGCACTCATCACGGGCTACAGTCACGACGAAGCACAGAGAGCCAGGGGGGCACCACAGGTGCGTCAGTCAGTCCTCGCAGCACCGTGCTGCCCCATCCCTCTTCTCCCACCAGGTCCGCATGCTGTGTGGTGGGGTGCCAGCACTCATCACGGACTACAGCCATGAGGCAGCACAGCGAGCCAGGGAGGCGCTCTGTTCGCTGGCTGTTGAGGTGCAACGAGGTAGCCAGGGTGGGGCTGCAGCAGCCGCAGGGCTTCAGCCTGTCATCAGCGAGGTAGGAACAAAAGGTGATCTTGTTTTATAGTCGACTCAATAATCTGGTAGTGCTTTGCTGCGGCGTACCATCAGCGAGGTAGGCCGGGCTTCAAAAGTAATGCTGTCAGGAACCAAAGGTAATGAACATTGTAAGAAGAATTGCTGACCAGATTGAAGTAGGAGGGGTGTGTGGTTGTAAAGAGGGGAGGTATGTTGGTTGGGTTGTGAGAAGGAAAAGTGAGCACCTGGCCAACATTATTGGCCCCCAACAGTTTGTTGGGTTGGGTTGAGCCAATAGTACGGGGGGTCTGATATCCCAACCCCCTCGGGGACCAAATGATGGAGCCAAGGTTGGTTTCCCAGCCCCAACTAGGGTTACTTCTACTTGTATACTCAAACTATGTTTGGATGCTTAACTCTATCCACACAATGCACGATACAAGTGGAGTGAGGTGAGATTATGGGGGTTCAGGTGAGTGCCCAATTCCCTGCTACTGCGACTATAGTACAGCGACAATGGTCGCTGTTGCCTTGGGGGTCCTATCACGCTCACGTGTCACGAGGCAAAGGCACACACAAACAACCATCAACACCGGTTGCTGCTGCCTTGGGGGTCCTATCACGCTCACGTGTCACGAGGCAAAGGCACACACAAACTACCATCAACACCGGTTGCTGCTGCCTTGGGGGTCTGTTGTTAGGGTTGGTTCGCCCAACCACGGAACCTACGGCGAAAGCTTCTACGACGGCGGAATGACGGCGAAATGGAAGCATGTGGATGATTCTAGGTGAAACGGTGGAAATCGGCCTACGGTGGAGAATGGAAGCTACGGCGTGAGAAGCGAGAGAGAAATCGGGAAGAAACTAGAGAAATGGAGGAAGAAGAGTGAAGAAGTATCGAGATTGAAGTTGACGAGGGGAAATTGTGGTTCGAGCTCAAGGCGTGTTCGAGAAGGTTCTAGATTCGGACTTGAGGAGTGTTCGGTGCATTCGGTTCGGTTCCGTGTACGACTCGGGGTGAAACGAGGCGCACGCGGTTACTTGGGAAACAAGTGAAGTTACGAATCGCATTTTGTGTCTTGCTTGACTATAAAACTGCTTGTACTCATTCTGGAAAATACAACATTGAAACCAATCAGATTCTGAAAATTGCTGAAGTGTGTATTGACAACTTCAAGCAGAGCTGCGCATATCGTTGGATTCGTGAGATCGTGGAGAACACGATAAGCAATAGCAAGTAGACTATTGCCGACTAAGGTGTTTACGATCCTAAGATCTGTAACAAGACGGGAATTCACCATGCGGGATGCATGGGAATTTCCGAAGGGTTGATGCCTAGTTAGCTCCGAACAGGAACACTTGCTAGCATAGACATCTTCCTCTTATCCCCGTCACACTCTAGAATCCAGCGAGGCATGGCATCGAGGCGCTATGCCAAGATGCCATGCTCAAAGCGTGGCGACGCGGGCTTTCCTCTCAAGCCGCGCTTATTCTCTCTAGAATAAATATATGTTCCTGCTTCTTGATTGCGTCATCTCATCCTTGTATCTCATCTCCTATTCTAATCCAAGAATCCTCTTCTTGATTCTTCTCCCTTCATGTCTCATCTACGAATCTCAGGAGCTAGGTCTCTCTAGCCTAGCTTCTCCTTATTCCGCTGCGTGACAACTACTCTTCTCTTCTAGCTACGGCGCATCTCCTTCGTCGCTAGGCCGGCCAGGCCAGCCGCGCCGTGCGCGGCAGCAGCGCCGTAGCTCTTGTTTCATTGTTATCCGAGCCTATCGATCCTCCGCTCCTATTCTCTGTACTAAGCTAGCTTCTATCCTCAGCCTCGACTACTACTTTCGTCCTTAGCTAGCTAGTACTCTTCACTGCTTCGACGTATCCTACCTTGGAGCAACTACGAGGATTTTCCTGCACCTAGGATGGCGAGGAACTTCTTGCTCCAAGTCTGAAGTCGAAATCTGTTTTGGTGTTGGCGAGATTCCTGAACCTGTTCAGAAGAATTTGGGAGCAGAAATTCGAATTTCGAAGTGACCCTGCTGCTCAAGGCGTCTTCTTACTGCTACACTTCGACCTCCACGCAACTTTTCAGCCCAAGGTGTAGTTGGGTAAAAAGCGTTCGAACTTTCAGTTGCATGACCTGAAAACTTTCTGCTGAAGCATTTTTACTTGGTCTTCAAATCTGATTCCAACATCTTTGGAGTTCGGTGCATCTTCTGTCTCACCTCTACAATCTGATTCCTTTGCTGGAAACTGAGAAACAGTTATATTCTTATGTGTTCTTGCTTTTGCTCTCAACTGCTGATAGTCAATAGAGCAATTACAAGCAGGACAATCATGTGTCTAAATTCTATATTTCCTCTTTCCTGATTCTAGGAACTTCCCTGCTCCTAGGCCGAAGCTCTGTAATATATAAAGAGCATCAGCACCTTATTTCACTACCTTAGTGGATCTACAAGGTTGCTTGATTGGCTAGGTAGCTTGTAAGTTGTAACTTCTTTACGAATTTCTCCTAGGCATAAAGGCGGTATGCTGGACATGCTATAGGCACCAGCAATGAGGCAGCCTGGTATGGATTATGTGTTCAGTAAGAAGCGCCATAGCTGTGAAGGCATGGGCTTGGGCTGCATGTGACCGCAAGAGCTGTAGTATGGGCTGCAGCTGCATGCCGACCTCCTCCCTGTATTCTACTCGAAACCTTCTCTGCAGCTTTGAAGAAAATCAGAGACCAAGATTGAAGGCCAAGAGTGAAGATGAAATTCATCTTGTAAATATATTCTTGGTTTAGACCTTAGGAAACTTTTTGGCTTGTATATACTTCTCTGATTTTAGACCTGTGATCGTTTAGTATGGGTAAGCATCGGGACGATGCTTCTTAGGGAGGGGAATTATGTAACAAGACGGGAATTCACCATGCGGGATGCATGGGAATTTCCGAAGGGTTGATGCCTAGTTAGCTCCGAACAGGAACACTTACTAGCATAGACATCTTCCTCTTATCCCCGTCACACTCTAGAATCCAGCGAGGCATGGCATCGAGGCGCTATGCCAAGATGCCATGCTCAAAGCGTGGCGACGCGGGCTTTCCTCTCAAGCCGCGCTTATTCTCTCTAGCATAAATATATGTTCCTGCTTCTTGATTGCGTCATCTCATCCTTGTATCTCATCTCCTATTCTAATCCAAGAATCCTCTTCTTGATTCTTCTCCCTTCATCTCTCATCTACGAATCTCAGGAGCTAGGTCTCTCTAGCCTAGCTTCTCCTTATTCCGCTGCGTGACAACTACTCTTCTCTTCTAGCTACGGCGCATCTCCTTCGTCGCTAGCTAGCTAAGGACGAAAGTAGTAGTCGAGGCTGAGGATAGAAGCTAGCTTAGTACAGAGAATAGGAGCGGAGGATCGATAGGCTCGGATACCAATGAAACAAAAGCTACGGCGCTGCTGCCGCGCACGGCGCGGCTGGCCTGGCCGGCCTAGCGACGAAGGAGATGCGCCGTAGCTAGAAGAGAAGAGTAGTTGTCACGCAGCGGAATAAGGAGAAGCTAGGCTAGAGAGACCTAGCTCCTGAGATTCGTAGATGAGAGATGAAGGGAGAAGAATCAAGAAGAGGATTCTTGGATTAGAATAGGAGATGAGATACAAGGATGAGATGACGCAATCAAGAAGCAGGAACATATATTTATGCTAGAGAGAATAAGCGCGGCTTGAGAGGAAAGCCCGCGTCGCCACGCTTTGAGCATGGCATCTTGGCATAGCGCCTCGATACCATGCCTCGCTGGATTCTAGAGTGTGACGGGGATAAGAGGAAGATGTCTATGCTAGCAAGTGTTCCTGTTCGGAGCTAACTAGGCATCAACCCTTCGGAAATTCCCATGCATCCCGCATGGTGAATTCCCGTCTTGTTACAGGGTCCTATCACGCTCACGTGTCACGAGGCAAAGGCACACAGCTGCAACCAGGACAGCTGCTGCCTTGGGCTTGCTTTCACCACTGTAAACCCACCTGTTCTGTCCCAAGGCAGCAGCATCTCTGGATGCAGCTGCCTTGGGCCTGGTTTCAGTACCATGCACCCACTTGTTCTGTCCCAAGGCAGCAGCAACCAGAGATGCTGCTGCCTTGGGCCTGGTTTCAGCACCATGCCCCCACCTGTTCAGTCCCAAGGCAGCAACAACCAGAGTTGCTGCTGCCTTGGGCTTGCTTTCGCCACTGTAAACCCACCTGTTCTGTCCCAAGGCAGCAGCAACACTGGATGCAGCTGCCTTGGGCCTGGTTTCAGCACCATGCACCCACCTGTTCTGTCCCAAGGCAGCAACAACCAGAGATGCTGCTGCCTTGGGCCTGGTTTCAGCACCATGCCCCCACCTGTTCAGTCCCCAGGCAGCAACAACCAGAGTTGCTGCTGCCTTGGGCTTGCTTTCGCCACTGTAAACCCACCTGTTCTGTCCCAAGGCAGCAGCAACACTGGATGCAGCTGCCTTGGGCCTGGTTTCAGCACCATGCACCCACCTGTTCTGTCCCAAGGCAGCAACAACCAGAGATGCTGCTGCCTTGGGCCTGGTTTCAGCACCATGCCCCCACCTATTCAGTCCCCAGGCAGCAACAACCAGAGTTGCTGCTGCCTTGGGCTTGCTTTCGCCACTGTAAACCCACCTGTTCTGTCCCAAGGCAGCAGCAACACTGGATGCAGCTGCCTTGGGCCTGGTTTCAGCACCATGCACCCACTTGTTCTGTCCCAAGGCAGCACCAACCAGAGATGCTGCTGCCTTGGGCCTGGTTTCAGCACCATGCCCCCACCTGTTCAGTCCCCAGGCAGCGTCAACCAGATTTGCTGCTGCCTTGGGCTTGCTTTCGCCACTGTAAACCCACCTGTTCTGTCCCAAGGCAGCAGCAACTCTGGTTGGAACTGCCTTGGGCCTGGTTTCAGCACCATGCACCCACCTGGACTGTCCCAAGGCAGCAGCAACCAGAGTTGCTGCTGCCTTGGGACTGCTTTCACCACTGTAAACCCACCTGTTCTGTCCCAATGCAGCAGCATCTCTGGATGCTGCTGCCTTGGGCCTGGTTTCAGCACCATGCACCCACCTGTTCTGTCCCAAGGCAGCAGCAACCAGAGTTGCTGCTGCCTTGGGAATGCTTTCACCACTGTAAACCCACCTGTTCTGTCCCAAGTCAGCAGCATCTCTGGATGCTGCTGCCTTGGGCCTGGTTTCAGCACCATGCACCCACCTGGACTGTCCCAAGGCAGCATCAACCAGAGTTGCTGCTGCCTTGGGCTTGCTTTCACCACCTTAAACCCACCTGTTCTGGCCCAAAGCAGCAGCATCCAGATATGCTGCTGCCATGGGCCTGGTTTCAGCACCATGCACCCACCTGGACTGTCCCAAGGCAGCAGCAGCTAGAGTTGCTGCTGCCTTGGGCTTGCTTTCACCACTGTAAACCCACCTGTTCTGTCCCAAGGCAACAGCATCTCTGGATGCTGCTGCCTTGGGCCTGGTTTCAGCACCATGCCCCCACCTGTTCAGTCCCCAGGCAGCAACAACCAGAGTTGCTGCTGCCTTGGGCTTGCTTTCGCCACTGTAAACCCACCTGTTCTGTCCCAAGGCAGCAGCAATACTGGATGCAGCTGCCTTGGGCCTGGTTTCAGCACCATGCACCCACCTGTTCTGTCCCAAGGCAGCACCAACCAGAGATGCTGCTGCCTTGGGCCTGGTTTCAGCACCAATTTGTCGGGGCATTTGCTTTAGCCGGAATGGGGTATCAGCAAATGTGGGAGTTTTGTCGCAACTTCGGCTTGCCAGCACCGGGGAAGGGCACATTTTACAAGTACCTTGGTGATGATAATGGGTTATGGAATGCTATACTGAGAGAGGCTGATAAGTCTATGGCTGCGGTACGAGAAGAGATGATGAAGCGAGAAATCCCTACAGAATATGTAGTGGTCGATGGTCGATGGTCACATGTTCGTGAGGGAGAGTGGTGTACAGTATCGTTCTTAGATTTGCCGTCCAGAAAGATAATGTACTGTGCCACGACACGAAAAGGGGTGGACGACACTTCTTCGGTGCGGCTGGAAAGAGTGGCTTTCGATAAAGGGTTAGATGAACTGGCGCAGAAAGGGTTTACGGTGGAAGGGATCATCTCCGACCAAGGGACTACTTTTCGTGGGGCAGCGTCCGAAAGGGGGTTGAACCACCAGGTGGACTGGTGGCATGTGAAGCGGACTCTTTACAAGTTGTTTCTGAAAGAACTTCAGGATGCGGTCCGTGCACCAGTGGCTGTGGACAAGGCGACCTGTATTGAGGATCTATGGCTTGCGACTATCGATGGGCTACGGCAATGGATGACAGCACGGGGGTTGGAGAAAGAGTCGAAAGCTTCACTGAAAGGGGACTTGGTGGAAGCCGTTTGTAAAGCCATGGGCACGATTGTTTACAGGAAGATGACCCCGGAAGAGGCGAAATGGAAGTTTCCCGAGCTAAGAAATGTGGTGCGGATGGGGGGGGAGTGTAGCCCGGTGGAGGTGCCTGTGACCTACGGTGAGGTGCCTGGTGCTTCTGATGCGGATGTGCGGGAGAGGGATGAGCGAGCTGAGCGGGCTGCCGTGGACATGCCGACACCGGAGGAGCGGAACGTTGACGCTCAGTGGGAAGACGTGGAGGAGCTATGGAGTTATGATGTGCACCCGACGCAGGGTGCGCGACCGACATCTTTGGCGAGCACCCTCATCATGCTTGCGCACGCGGGCGCGAACGGAAACTCCCATTTCATCGGTGGATCCACTCCTTGGGCCAACACCGACACGGAGACTGGTATGCATACACCCCTTCCCAAGTTTTGGGCATGCTTGATCCAAGTGCTACTCTGTACTCAGTTTTCGTCTTTCATTTTCTGACATTCACAGATGCGCTAGATGGAGTCGGGGCTGATACCGAAGTGCAGAACCCTAATGCGTTCAGCGAGCCCGAGACACTACCTCGGTGGACTGGTCGCCGAAAGCGGAAACGAGGTGAAGATCAGATCGATTCTGGCAAGGAGGAACAAACTGTGGCACAACGCTTATCCTCTCATTTCGATGTGGTGCGAAGAAGAAAGAGGGGCATCCTATGACCCCGGCCGACGTGGCGAGGGAGCTTGGGAGCCCACCCAACCACTGGGCCGGTGACCACTCCGGCTGCTCGGGGGGTTGGAGAGACCCGACCTCGCTGCGTCAGAGAGGGGTGGGGCAAGGACCATGCCATATATGAGTTTGGGTCATCGACACACAAGGCGGTTTGTGCATGGTTCTCCAAGCACTTAAGCCCTGAGAAGGTGAAGTCGTTTGTGCATGGCGCGTCGAGTTCTCTCAACGAGTCTTTCCATTCTTTGATCATCAAATACACACCTAAGCGGATACGGTTTCAGGGCAGTTTCCCGGCACGAGTCGGTCTCGCGGTTCTACATTGGAATCACGGCATGGATCGCCTGGCGACCGCCTATCGCACTAGAGTCCGACAGGTGACGAGGATCAGGCGTGGATCCAAGGAGCGCATCTTGACTAAAATGGATTGGGCTTGGGTTGATCGCATCATGGAGGAATGGCAACGAACACTGCGGCATGGAGATAATGTGGACGTTGACGAGATGCCTGAATCAACAGCAACGGCTGCGCAACTGGTCGATGCATCGATCGCACAGCCCACAGCATCTGTTCTTGAGCCAGTAACACCAGTGCGCCAAGGCGGGTTCGGTCCGGTGTGCCGCACGACTCGTGGATCTGCTCGCCGTCGTTTGGGTAAGCAACGGCGGCGCAACGTGAGTTGTTATTGCTCAGTATGGCTCATACTCGATGTAAACATTCTAGCCAGCGTAATGTGTTCACCATCCGCGTCTTCCACTCCATCTTTATGTTGCTTATAGGTGATGTGTCGAACCTCCCACGCTAAGCGCCCAAGGCGAACATCAAGCGAGCTTTCAAACTCGCGCGAGGCTTGCTCGGCATCACGCAGATCCACCACGACGCCCACCACAACAATCGACCCCCCCAAAGGTATTTGACAAACACCCATCGCCCACCATGCTATAACTTGGCCTGCTCAGCTCTCCCATTCCCTACCATGCCCTGTTTGGTCTCGCCTCGATCTTGTCTACCTCACCTCGGCATGCCACTCCCCATCTTCCCTGTCCTGCCCCGCACCGCCTTTCCCTGCTCCAAATAAACATGCCATGCTATACCAGGAGATGCCCTGCCCTGCCCTGTCATGCCCTACCCTGCCCTGCCCTTCCCTGCCCTGCCCTGCCCTGCCTGCCCTGCCCTGCCCTGCCGTGCCCTGCCGTGCCCTGCCGTGCCCTGCCCTGTCCTGCCCTGCCCTGCCCTGCCCTGTCCTGCCCTGCCCTGCCATGTCCTGCCCTGCAATGCCCTGTCCCGCCCCGCCCCGCCCTTGTCTGCACCCTCATTTTCTGCCATGCCATGACTAGAGGGGCCATGCCTGCCCTGCATTCTCATGGCCCGCCCCGCCCTTGTCTGCACCATCCGCGTCATGCCATGCCTCTCCCATGCCATGCCATGCCCTGCCCTGCCCTCCCCTGTCATGCTCCGCTCCGCCCTTCTCCCTCCCCCCCTCCAGGCATGCCCTGCCATGCTCTGCGGATGAGATTATTCATCGCTACAGGCACACCACCCTAAATTCTGGCTTATCCTCCTTCTCATTGGCTATAGCTGCAGGTTACCACTGTAAGAGGGATAAGGCGGAATTGCCATCGGATCAAGGGGATGATGTGGCAGACGCAGTGATAAAAGATGCGGAGGAGTGGAGCGACGGTAGTGATGAGTGGTGGGTAGCAGGCCGCTATGACGGGCAGGAAGTGGATGTGTGGGTGGCAGGCCAGGATGAGTGAATGGGTTGTGTTTCTATCCCCACTGTGCTAATATGGTCTTCAACATGTCATGCTTGAATGTGTTTAGAGGACTTTGCCGTTCTGTCCTAAACCTAATCATGCTAAGAGTGAAATAAACTTGCACATATTATAGTTGAAATTGTTGAGATAGTATCTTAGGCTAGGAGAGTAGGAACCGTAGGCATAGCGAGAGTTACGGGAGAGGAGATGTTTGGCCAAAGAAGAGGGGTTTCAATAAAGGCAAATCATACAAGATATAGGAAAGAGGAAGGGAGAATAAAAGGGTACACCACCAGCAGTTGATGCTAATAACTAAACTAATACACTAGCAAGCTATAGGCAGTTATAAGATATGCAATATCAATTAACACACCCCCGTAACTGCCTATGGCTATAGCTAGTGGTGTCTGGCACCAGGTCGCCTGGAGAGCGGTTGCTTGTAGCTGGGATATGCACAGAAACAGCGGTTGCTGACCGGTAGCACCTGTGAACGCCATAACGAAGGAGGGCGCGGAGGGCGCGGAGGAGGGCTGGGATAACCGGAGGGCGTAGGATGCTGGTGATTAACACCAACCGTTGGATAGGAGGAGGAAACTGGTGGCGCACAGGCGGAGAGCCGAGGAGAAGCGGCTGGAGGAGCAAACAAGCGGAGAAGGAGGCGGCTGGAGGAGAGGAGAGAGGAGGAGGCGGCTGGACGAGAGGAGAGAGGAGAGGAGGGAGAGAGGAGGAGGCGGCTGGACGAGAGGAGAGAGGAGAGGAGGGAGAGAGGAGGAGGCGGCTGGACGAGAGGAGAGAGGAGAGGAGGGAGAGAGGAGGCGGCTGGACGAGAGGAGAGAGGAGAGGAGGGAGAGAGGAGGAGGCGGCTGGACGAGAGGAGAGAGGAGAGGAGGGAGAGAGGAGGAGGCGGCTGGACGAGAGGAGAGAGGAGAGGAGGGAGAGAGGAGGAGGCGGCTGGACGAGAGGAGAGAGGAGAGGAGGGAGAGAGGAGGAGGCGGCTGGACGAGAGGAGAGAGGAGAGGAGGGAGAGAGGAGGAGGCGGCTGGACGAGAGGAGAGAGGAGAGGAGGGAGAGAGGAGGAGGCGGCTGGAGGAGAAGAGGAGAGGAGAGGAGAGGAGAAGAGGAGAGGAGAGGAGGAGAGGAGAGGAGAGGAGAGGAGGAGAGGAGAGGAGAGGAGAGGAGGTGGCTGTCAAATTATATATATATGTTTAGGTTATCTAGGCTGTATGGGGGTTAGCACTAGGGGGTACAGAAACTTCCTCGACACTCTAGTCTTGTACCCCAACCTTGACCTAATCTGATCATACCCTTGACTTAGTCTTAACATGGTATCTAGAGCAGGAGGTCTCTAGGACCTAAGAATCGGGCCCACCTAACTGTGTTACCACCTGCCTGCCTTGCCTACTGCCCGCGCGCGCCTCGGCTGCAGCGCGCGTCACTTTTTTTTCCGCGCGCGCCTCGGTTTTTAGCGCGCGCGTCACTGTTTTAGCGCGCGCCACTGCTGCAGAGCCGCGCGCCGGCCCGCGTAGAGCCCGTGCGCCCCTTACGCCGCCCCCGCGCAGCCTGCTTAGGCCCGTCGCTGCACGCAGCCCGCAGCCGCGCGCGCTGCCCGTCGCCACGCACAGCCAGGAGCCACGCGCTGCCCGTCGCCACGTGCAGCCAGGAGCCGCGCGCAGCACGTAGCCACGCGCAGCAGACAGCCGCGCGCAGCCCTCAGCCGCACGCAGCCAACAGCCGCGCGTGCCCTCCTCGTGTACCTGCCTGTGAGGCTCACTGCTGCCGAGCCCACTGCCTTAGAACTGTGCGGCCTGCTACTGTCTAGAGCGCCACCTTAGGGGCTCAAGTGCAGCAAGCTACTGCCCTGCACGTTGCCTGTACTGCCTGCTGCCTACTGCCTCTGTCTTAGCCTGCTGTCTACTGCCTACTGCCTTGTGTCTACTGCCTGCCTGCTTTCTGCTGCCTTTGCCTGCTGCCGTTATGACGACGCCTAATGTTCTCGCGTTCGAACCTGACGGTCGCCCCATAGAGTTCGCTCTGTGGCTAGACGACCTGCAACTGTTCCTTCTGACCGATGCCAAAGAGGGTGTTTCACTGTTCGATTACGTGTCTGGCACTGCCGTTGCTCCTGCTGCCGATGATCCTACTCTCGAACGCTCGCAGTGGCAGACTCGCGATGCTGCTGCACGCCTAGCTATTAGGAACCATCTGCCGATCACTGAGCGCGCGCATTTCAGCCAGCACAAAACTGCTAAGACACTGTACGACGCTGTAGTTGCGCGCTACTCCTCCCCGGCCACTGCAGCCATAGGTCGACTCATGCTACCCTACATGTTCCCCGACCTTTCTTCGTTCACCACTGCTGAGGACCTCATTTCCCACCTGCGCGCTACTGACACTCGCTTTCGTGCCGCCCTCTCAGCCGAGTTCTGCGCCGCAAACCCCCCCCCCCCGATGTACTTCACTCTCTATTTCCTCGTTACCCGCCTCCCTGACACTCTTAGCTCGGTCAGGGACCACTTCCTAGCGCTAGCCCCCCCCACTCTCACTGTCGACGACTTCGAGAAGCACCTCCTTGCAGCAGAGAAGAACATCCTCGCTGTAGGTGCTGCTCGTGGCACTCCTCGCTCTCCCCTCTTTGAGGGGTGCTCCCCCTCCCCTCTCACCCCCTCCTACGCCTCCGCAGCTGCTGCTCACGACTACCTTGGTGCTGAGGAGGTCGGGGCTGCTTCCGCTCCTAGTGGGAAGCGTCACAGCAGCAGGGGCGGCAAGGGTGGCAGGGGAGGTGGGGGTGGCGGTGGAGGTGGCGGTGGAGGTGGCGGCGGGGGAGGTGGAGGTGGTGGAGGCGGTCGTGGGGGTGGAGGTGGTGGAGGTGGTGGTGGGGGCAGCGGAGGCACTGGGAGCGGTGGAGGTGGCAGCAGCGGAGGAGGGGGAGGAGGGACCGGTCCGTCGTCCTTCCTCTCCTCCGCAGCGTGTTCCTCTGCCGTCCCCTCCGGAGTCTTCTCTGCCTGTTGTTCCAGACCCTGAGTCTGACCGGTTTCGTGCTGAGCACCCTACTGTCACGCGTCTACTAGCCACTGTTGTCACTGACCCGTCGTTTGAGTCTGCTGCTGCGTCTACCTTAGTCGCTGAGCTTGTTGACTTTGCTGCTGCCTGTCGTCTAGACTACGCCGCTAGTCTTGTTGCTGAGTCTGAGTCTGTCTGTCCTCCGTCCGTCGGGGGTGAGTGTGCTCTTGGCACGGACGTCCTTGAGGACAGGCACGAGGACCTTGAGTGTTTTGCAGCCGCTGCGCCTCATCTTGTGTCCATGCTGCTTGCCCTTGAGGGAGACCCGGATGCACCAGACATCCCGACCCCTCGCTCTTACGCTGAGGCGATCGCGGGTGAGTACTCCTCTCAGTGGCAGACAGCCATGGATGCAGAGATGGCATCCTGGAAGTCCACAGGCACCTACGTCGACGAGGTTCCCCCTCCTGGGGCGAACATCGTCAGTGGCATGTGGATTTTCAGGGTGAAGCGGCCGCCAGGTTCTCCGCCTGTCTTCAAGGCTCGTTACGTTGCTCGAGGTTTCAGTCAGCGAGAGGGGGTTGACTTCTTCCAGACCTTCTCCCCCACCCCGAAGATGACCACTCTTCGGGTGCTGCTGCACGTTGCCGCCCAGCGTGACTACGAGCTTCACTCTCTTGACTTCAGCACAGCTTTCTTACAGGGCAGCCTGCACGAGGAGATCTGGCTGCGCCGCCCACCTGGCTTCACTGGGTCGTTCCCTCCTAGTACCCAGTGGAGCCTCCGGCGGCCGGTCTACGGTCTCCGCCAGGCGCCGCGTGAGTGGCACGACACACTGAGGACGACACTTGCGGCTCTTGGGTTTTCTCCGTCGACTGCTGACCCGTCGCTGTTTCTGCGCACCGACACTTCACTGCCGCCGTTCTACATCCTCGTGTACATCGACGACTTGGTCTTTGCCACTGCTGACACTGAGGCTCTCGCCCTGGTGAAGTCGGAGCTCCAGAAGAGACACACGTGCACAGACCTGGGTGAGCTGACAAGCTACCTTGGCTTGCGGATCACCCGGGACAGAGCACGTCGCACCATCACACTGACTCAGTCACACATGGTGCAGCAGGTCCTTCAGCGCTTCGGCTTCACCTGGTCCTCGGCACAGCACACTCCTCTGGCTACAGGTCACTTGCTCTCAGCTCCACCTTCGGACGAGTCCATAGAGCCGAGTGGTCCTTACCCAGAGCTAGTGGGCTGCCTCATGTACCTGATGACCTGCACTCGTCCTGACCTTGCGTACCCTCTTGGCCTTCTGGCTCGCTACGTGGCTCCTGGACGACACCGAAAGGTGCACATGGATGCTGCTAAGAGGGTACTACGCTACTTGTGCAGTACATCGGGCATGGGGCTCGTGCTTGGAGGACGGAGCGACGTTGTCCTCACTAGGCACTCAGACGCTTCTTGGGTTGACGACCAGGCTACGCAGCGGTCGTCACAGGGTTACACCTTCAGCCTTGGCTCTGGTTCGGTTTCTTGGCGTTCTACACGCTCGTCTTCAGTTCTCAGCTCCAGTTGTGAGGCTGAGATCTACGCCACAGCCATGGCTGCACAGGAGTTACGCTGGCTCACCTACCTGCTGACCGACTTGGGAGAGAGGCCTCGTTCTCCTCCAGTGCTGTACGTCGACAACAAGTCCGCCATTGCCTTGTGTCAGGAGCACAGACTGGAGCACAGAACGAAGCACATCGCTCTGCGTTACTTCCTTGCTCGAGAGCTACAGCAGCGTGGTCAGCTTCGTCTTGCTTACGTGGCCACTCGGGCCAACACTGCTGATATATTCACCAAGGCGCTTCCGTCTGGTGATCATCAGCGTTTCTGTACTTTGTTAGGCCTTGTGCCCACGTTTCCTCACTTGCTGTAGGCTTTGTTTGTACTGTGATCTATATATATACCTGCATGCTTGCTCTGGTAGGTAGAGATCACTGTGATGTTGTTGTTACGTATATATCTCTGCATGTGAACTGGCCTTGTGGCCTTTTGCTTGTGCTCAGACTGCGTGGTGACGTTGTGATCCACCCTGAGCTGTGTTTTGTTTCTTCTCTTGACTGGTCTTGTGACCGTTGCTTGCTCTGGCTATCCCCCATTTCGCCTATGGGGGTGTGTCAAATTATATATATATGTTTAGGTTATCTAGGCTGTATGGGGGTTAGCACTAGGGGGTACAGAAACTTCCTCGACACTCTAGTCTTATACCCCAACCTTGACCTAATCTGATCATACCCTTGACTTATTCTTAACAGTGGCTGGCGCGGCAGAAGCTCTCCCGCCACCCCCTCATCCCCCTCCCCCCCATGCGCAGGCGCTGGCGGAAGTGCTTGCGCTGGGCGTTGGCGTCGCGCTGGCGCTAGCGCTCGCCGTCGGCGCTGGCGTCCGCGCTGGCGCTGGCGACCGCCGTTGGCGCTAGGTGCTGGCGCCCGCCGTTGGCACTGGCGCTGGCGCCCGTCGTTGGCGCTGGTGCTGGCGCCCGCCGTTGGCGCTGGCGCTGGCGCCCGCCGTCGGCTCGCTGGCACGCTCGCCACGGGCAGAGCGCGACGGGGCGAGCATTGTGGGACGGGGCAGCCAGCACGCGGCGTGTTAACAGGCTGCGCGACTGGTGGGCCCATAATTCTTAGGTCCTAGGAAAGTACCTGCTCTAATGCCATGTTGAGATAGTATCTTAGGCTAGGAGAGTAGGAACCGTAGGCATAGCGAGAGTTACGGGAGAGGAGATGTTTGGCCAAAGAAGAGGGGTTTCAATAAAGGCAAACCATACAAGATATAGGAAAGAGGAAGGGAGAATAAAAGGGTACACCACCAGCAGTTGATGCTAATAACTAAACTAATACACTAGCAAGCTATAGGCAGTTATAAGATATGCAATATCAATTAACAGAAATATACGTTACACCAGTTATAAACTTGTACTGGAATCGACACACCAGTTAGCCTGCCAACACATGGCAGATGCATGGGTGGGATAGAAGGCGCACGGCATGAGGGCTAAAAAATGTACCGGTAGTAGCTCAGAGTAGGAGCAGACGAACCAGTGGCAGCTATAGGATCTCTGGAGGGACTTGCTGCTGCTCTTGAAGCAGAAAAGCAAGAGTGCAAGGGCTGACAGCAGGGGTGCAAGGGTGGAAAGCAGGAGTGCAAGGGTGGAAAGCAGAAGTGCAAGGGCTGACAGCAGGGGTGCAAGGGTGGAGAGCAGGGGTGCAAGGGTGAGAAGCAGGGGTGCAAGGGTGGAAAGCAGTGCATAGGTGGAAAGCGGGACCAGACGAAACAGTGACAATTTGAATTCACATTAGCGGTGGGTATGAGAGGAGTGATTGATATGAAAGGAGTGGGAAGTTTGGAACGAGGGTGTAGGGATATGAGAGGAGCAGGGGGTATGAGGGGACTGTGGGGTATGAGAGGAGTTGGGTGTAAGAGGGGAGTGCTGGGTATGAGAGGAATGGGGAGTATGAGAGGAGTGGGGGGAGTGGATGGTATGGAATGAGTGGGGGTATGAGAGGAGTGGGTAGTATGAAAGGAGTGGGGGGTATGAGAGGAGTGGGGAGTATCAAAAGGAGTGGGGGGTATGAGAGTAGTGGGGAGTATGAAAAGAGTGGGGGTAATGTTGCAGCATGCTGCTGGCATTATGCTGAACGAGGCATTACTGGACATGTTTTCAAAATCATCAATGCAGCAGATTCCCCGGTCGCTCAGCACCTGGGCGCCGCTCTCCAGCACCTGCTGGGCGGCAAGCACGGAGGGGAATGGGAAGAGAAAAAGAAGCACACATCTCAGCATTCAGCCCAGACTTTATCAACTCATCGATGCAGCAGGCACTTTTCGAATGTGTGCGTGTTCCTAAGTCTGCTGCGCTGCCCCCTAGTTGCACCTGCGTCCCCCCTCCTCCTTCCGGATGTGAATGCAGTCCAAAAAGGTCTGCAAGAGAGGGTGAATGGTCACTGACATTGCACACAAGTCTGCTGCGCTGCCCCCCTGTTGCGCGTGCGTCCCCCCTCCTCTTTGCAATTGTACATGGGGAGGGAGAGGATAGGTACAAGGGGAGGGATTGGAGAGGCACATGGGGAGGGACTGGAAAGATGGCAAGATCGAGGGAGAGGAGGTGCATGGGGGAAGCATTGGGGATGGAGGGGGGAAGCAGGGAGGAGGGAGAGGGAAAACAGGGAGGAGGGAGGGGGGAAGCAGGGAGGCGAGAGAGGGGAAGCAGGGGGGAGGGAGGGTGGAAGCAGGTGTGGCAAAGGAGAATAGACTGGGGGGTAAGCAGAGCTGGTGGGAGGAAGGGAGGTTGGTCAAGATAAAGAGGGGTGTAAACAATTTGGGGAAAGTGAGGTCGACGAGGAGAGGGACAAGCCGTAAGTACCCGCTCTCACCCTCTGTCCTTCCCCCTCTGTGCCCCTCCCCCTCTTATCCTCCCCCTCCATCATTCCCCTTCTGTCTCCCCCCCTGTGCTGTTCACCATCTGTCACTCCACCTGTGTCCTTCCCCCTCTGTCTCTCCCTCTTTGTCCGTCCCCCTCTGTCTCTCTCATTCTCGGTCCTTCCCCCTGTTCCTCCCCCCTCTGTCTCGAGGGAGGGGGGAAGCAGGGAGGAGGGAGTGGGGAAGCAAGGAGGTGGGAGTGGGGAAAGAGGGATATATGTGGGTTGCACGGAGGTCGGTCTGTGGGGGGAACGGGGGGTTGCAGGTTGAGGGGATGGAGGTGGGAATGTGGGGGGAAAGGAGGCGGGCAAGTGGGGGGAATGCTGGTGGTGTGTGGGGGGGAAGGGGGGCGGGCAAGTGGGGGGAATGCTGGTGGTGTGTGGGGGGGAAGGGGGGCGGACAAGTGGGGGGGATCCTGGTGGTGCGTGGTGGGCAAAGGAGGCGGGCAAGTGGAGGGAATGCTGGTGGTGTGTGGTGGCCTTCGCTACCGACGGGGAGTGGCGACTTGGGTAGACATGGGGAATAAGGGGAAGTGCGTGTGGATGGGCGAAACAGATGCGACAACGGGTGGCGAGGGCATTGAGGAGCAACGCAAGCGACGACGGAAGAGTGAGGGAGATTCGGGTAAGCGTTTCCCACACGGGACGTGACGAGGGGAAACGCTTGCGACGAGGGATACATTGCGCGATGAGGGGACGCAGGGAAGGGGATGGGGGAAGCAGGGAAGGGGACGGGGGGAAGCAGGGAAGGGGATTGGGGGACGCAGGGAAGGGGATGGGGGGGAGCAGGGAAGGGGATGGGGGAAGCAGGGAAGGGGACGGGGGGAAGCAGGGAAGGGGATTGGGGGACGCAGGGAAGGGGATGGGGGGGAGCAGGGAAGGGGATGGGGGGAAGCAGGGAAGGGGATGGGGGGAAGCAGGGAAGGGGATGGGGGGAAGCAGGGAAGGGGATGGGGGGAAGCGGGGAAGGGGATGGGGGGAAGCAGGGAAGGGGATGGGGGGAAGCAGGGAAGGGGATGGGGGGAAGCAGGGAAGGGGATGGGGGGAAGCAGGGAAAGGGATGGGGGGAAGCAGGTAAGGGGATGGGGGGAAGCAGGGAAGGGGATGGGGGGAAGCAGGGAAGGAGATTGGGGGGAAGCAGGGAAGGGGATGGGGGGAAGCAAGGAAGGGGATGGGGGGAAGCAGGGAAAGGGATGGGGGGAAGCAGGGAAGCGGAGGGGGGAAGCAGGGAAGGGGATGGGGGGAAGCAGGGAAGGGGATGGGCGGAAGCAGGGAAGGGGATTGGGGGGAAGCAGGGAAGGGGATTGGGGGAAGCAGGGAAGGGGATGGGGGGAAGCAGGGAAGGGGATTGGGGGAAGCAGGGAAGGGGATGGGGGGAAGCAGGGAAGGGGATTGGGGGAAACAGGTAGAGGGTGTGGAGAAGCAGGTCAGAGGATGGGGGAAACAGGGCAGGGGATAAGGGGTCACAAGGGATAGGATGGGGGGAACGGGGGCAGATGCCAGAGGAAGGTACATGGGGTGGGACAGGAAAGATGGTGAGATCGAGGGAGAGGAGGGGCATATGGGGAAAGCGAAGGCTCACCTGGTGCATGGCGCTCACCTCTCTGAGGTCCTTCCCTATGTCCTCCCCCCTCTGCATCTCCCCCTCTGTCCTTCCCCTTCTGTCTCTCTCCCAGTCTCCTTCCCCCTCTATCTCTCCCCCTGTGACATTCCCCCTCTGTCTCTCCCCCTGTGTCCTGCACCCTCTGTCTCTCCCCTTCTGTCCTCCACCCGGTGCCTCCCCCATCTGTCTCTCCCCCTCTGTCCTTCCCCCTCACCCCCGTGTCCTTCCCCATCTGTCCGTGGGAAGGGCGAGGAAATTATCAAGAAGGTGGGAAGGAAGGAGTGCAGAGAGATCGAAAGAGGCAGGAGAGAAAGAGAGAGCGAGGGAGATGGGAGTGTAAGAGAGAGCGAGAGATATAGGAAGCGAGGGGAGAGGGATAGATGGGAGGGAGGAAGAGATGGAGGGTGGACGGAGGCGGGGATGCAGGCGGGTACGGTGACGCTTGCGCGAAATACAGAGGCGGAGGCGACGAGGAGAAGCGCGCGCGAAATCAAGTGGCGGGGGCGACGCGGAGAAAATCGCGTGGGCGACGATCTGAACCGCGCGCGGGCGACGAGAAGAAGCGCGCGAGGGCGACGTGGAAAATCGCGCGTGGGCAAACGGGCGAAGCGCGCGCGGGCGTCAAGGAGAAGCGCGCGCGGGCGTCAAGGAGGTGCGCGCGCGGGCAACCTGGAGAGGCGCTGGACGGTGGGAAGCGCGGGCGACGAAAGGAAGTGAGGGCGACGAGTGGTAGATATCGTGACTTGAGCAAGTGTGGGCGACGTGATGAAGCGCGGGAATCGCTTTTCCGCGAGTCTCACGTGGGTAACGCGCACTCGACTTCCTACAAGCAGTGAGTGTGGCAACTCATGCCATTTTCGGGAGCCTTGCGCGTGTGGGGCACTAGCACGGACGTACCGTGTCTGGCATTCGAAAGAGGCACGGTGTGGGCGAGTTTGGCAGGCAGTTGTGCTACGCATCGATTGGACAGACAGCGTGAGGGACTAGTGTTGGCCGAAAAAAAAACGCCTACCCTTGAGGGTGCTTTTGTCGCCCAGCCGCCCGTTTCCTAGTTACGTGTGTCATAGTGGACTAGAAGTACTACTTGGTCTTCAAGATATGTGAGAGGTGATCCAGGCAATATTGTGGGCGATGGACGGGTCTGTCGTGCGACTGGTCACTGAAACCAATCAGGAGTGAGGGTCGCAAGAGGTTTTCCCGGGGTCGCGAGTTGAGTTTCAAACCAAAGTGGGTTACCCTGTTTTTTTGCGACTTCAAGTTCAAGAATCTTGAACTTGAAATATACCATGCTGTACTCGGGCTTTAAGCAAACAATATGCTGCCCCAGTCTTATGAAGACTAGCATACCCTGATAAAGTCATGAAGGTGCACAACGTGAAAAATCTACAGTGATCAAGCCCCCTTTAATTCTTTCTGCAGCAGTTCTACTGCCTTCTCTTTCTCCCCGTCATTACCCGATAACAAAATTCCCTGCACAGAAGTCACTCGACACGACACGTTACGGAGTGTTGATAAAGAACCAGTCTGCAAGAAGCGAACATTCTATACCATGTTAATCGTTTCAAGTCAACATGCTTGCTTACCGGTTCAAAGGCTCCAGCCTTGAGAAGATTGTTCAGGCACATATCCAGGTGCCCTTTGAGTTCCTGAACTTGGTATTTGTCTGCTGCTGCCAAGAGGTTCAATTCCTGCGCAGCCACACAGACAGAAGCAGCACTGTTGTCTTCTCCAGAATGCATTCGGGGGGGCACTGAGACACAAACCTGCTTATTCTCACCTTCTGGGTCACTGTCTGTATGTGCAGCTCGCCTGTGTACATGAAAGTAAGTAGCTCATTCAGAGTTGCGCTATCAACGTCCTTCATCTGAACATGCCGACTCGTTTCTTCCCGAAACAGGGGACCTGCAGGGAAACTAACACTTGCAATCTGTTCAATACCACTCAGAAAGTAAAATCGCGACTAAGCAAGGAGAATGGGCACTAACCATGTGGCAAGCACGCAGCGATGAGCAGGTACTTTAACCCCATCGCTTGTCTCCAGAGTGACATCACAAAAGGGCATATCCAGCATGCTTTTCGTCTTCATAGAGAACAAGGACCGCCTATTTTCTTGGTCCTTGAATTCTTGTAGCTCACTGATTTGGGTCTTCAAGTCTTCAATTGTTGCATCCGAACGCTTACAAGGATAGCAGACAGCACACTGATAACAGCTGTTCGAGTACGTCCCGCATATGTCGCATCTCCCCATTCTCAAATTGGCAGAAGAGAGCTTCAGAAACAAGCACAACGTCAAGTCGCTTCAGGGAGGAAGAAGAATGAAAATGGTTAGTCTTTATGGTTCGGTCGGGCTGCCTGACTCTTGTTTTGTCAGGTCAAGTCACAACAGCGAGCATAACGATTCTAGCCACATAAGCGGTTCGGTTCGGAACATTTGCAAATTGCGAAACCCAGTTTCGAAGTATTTCATGTGTCAGATGGCCCGGATGCACATCATCATGCATAGTGGACGAAGTTACATCGAGGGAGCTTCACCTGGCTTGCATGCTGTGGAACCAACGATAGTACGCTGTTTACAAACGAACATACTGGAATGGTGGTGGAGGATTCGAGGGACTTCTGGGGGTCGAAGACGAGCTTCAAGCACGCATCAACTCCCCCTCTTTTTGGCGATGGGTCGTGCAATATGATCCGCCACCGCACTGAAATCTTGCGTATTTTATTCACAACATGTCAGAACCTTCTCAAATCCCGCCAAAAAACGACCTGCGCAGGGTTGATAGCAGAAATGAGCCTGATGAGGTTGAAGTGGGGAGCAGAGGAGGTGATATAGTGGAGGAAAATCGACCAATCCTGTAATTTTGTAGGCCAAATCGTGTCTATACACTAGGTACCGTATATGCCCAAAAAGGTAAATTCCTAGGAGAACATGAAGTCCTCAATCTTGAACTAGAAATGAAGCCATCAGATGTGGACAACCAAAATAGGGCCTCTGCTTCAGGGGTTTACTGTACTTGTAGGTGGTCAAATTAGGTGAGGAAATTCCGTAATGTTCATTGTACTGTCCATAACTGTAAGATTCACTAGCTATTTCTGGTGAAGGCTAACACATGACAGAGTCAAATCTGCTGTGCTAAACAGGGAGGGGAGACCACACTACACTACACTACGTATGTACATTCCTGCCACCCACTGCTGCTGCACCAGTATAGCTGGTTAAGGCTTGCCACAACAGCAAGGGGCTGAAGAAGCATGACAAACTTGTCCTCAGCTAAGCGGCTATACGCTGCTTGCGTAGACACTTTCTCCAAGGTAGGCAGCAACGAGGGTGAAATATTGGGGGGCCCAGTTCATCCATGCATGTAGCCGAATCCCCAATCTCCTCGTCACAATGCCACCCACCCTTTATTCCCTTCACTTCCACATGCACACAGTGCTCCCTTCATTCAATTTCTTCCCCCCCAGCCTCACAACCCCCCCCCCCCCTCCCCCCCCAACCATCGCATTCGCCACCGCTGCTGTAATCCGTCTCAAGAACCTCAATGCCCACCAAAGCAGCGCCAAGCAGCATATGCCTCCCTTCTGAAGCGGTCGGAAAAGGAGTGACCATCCATGCACCACCATGCCTCCAACAACCCCGGCCCTTTGAACTGCTTCTTCGGCCGCTGGGACGCCCTAAAACTGCTTCTTCGGCCGCTGGGACCGCCGCGGGCGCAGGTTGATCCCACTCGGATGAGGCGAAGCCTCCCCCACCACTGTGGCTGCTGCCACGTCATCCACTTGATCTGGTGCCACGTCATCAAACCCAGCAGCAGCAGCATCGATGCTACAGCCCCCCTGGCCACCCGCAACCCCAGCTGGCAGCAATGCAGCCGGAGGCAGAGTGCCGTGCAGCATGGCAGGTGGTGGTGGTGCTGCCTGCCTTGCTTGGCTGTTCGAGGGGCTCAACGCCCGGCCCAGACCCGCAAGGCCTGCTGCCAGGTGCTTACTCCCCCACCACCCACTGCCCCCACCTCGCCCTGTGCCAGCAGAGCCAGCTGCAGCAGCAGCTGCACGCTCATCTGCTGCTGGGCCCGTGCTGAACTCCCTCTCAGCGTCCACCATCTCAAACTCACTGCTCGCCCCACTCCCACCGCTCGCCCCATCGCTCTCCCCACCGTCCCCATCCGAATCCGAGTCCACATTTCTGTACCGCACTGCCTGCCTGTGCACTCCCGGCCTCTGCTCGCTCCCCTGCTGCACCCTCTGCTCCTCCACCTCTGCTCTCCGCCCATTATTGGGTGTTCCCTCTGTCTCCTCTCCCTGCAGCCGTCTCTCATACCCCCCCTTCTGCACTCCCACTGCCGACCTCAGCTGCACCGCCTCCCCTCCGTACTGCTGCAGGTACTTCCTCCTCCCCCTCACCTCCTCCTGCTGCTCCTCCTCTCCCTTCCTACCCTCTGTTCCATCCGCCCTCTCACTCCTCAGGACCTCAACTTCTCTCTCCCTCCTCTCCCTTTCCTCCCGCCTCCCACTCCCCTCCATTCCTCGCAGTGCTGCTGACGCAGCAGCCTGTGCTGACAGGGACGCCAGGTAAGCAATGAGCTCCTCAAATCGAGCACCAGTGTATGCCACGCCAGCACGCCAGCAATCCACAGCCATGTCTCTCCCCCGCTCCTCCAGGTGTGCCAGGTGGCGGTCGATGATTGGTTCGTGGCGGGTCAGCAGAGGTTGCAGCATCGAACCATACACAGTCTCTGTGCCCTGAGAGGGGGCGGACCGAGGCAAGGACGGGGTGGGGACGAAGGAGGGTGAGCCGACGACATGAGCAAGAAGGAAGGAAGGAGGGCGTGTCGAGGAGAGGCAGGGCCGCAGAGTGGAGAAGGAGCATGGCAGAGGTGGCAAACATGTGCAGGCGAAGCGGCAAACGCGACAGAGGAGAAACGACGACCACGGAGGAACAGCGACACGTACGGACAGGACTGGACGGTTCAAGACAGGGCCTGGTGCTCACATGTGCGAGTGGGAAGCGGGAGCCACAGAATGGCCATAAATAGAGTCGTAAACTCTACAGCTGCCATTTAGCCACTGACCTGCGTGCGGGGGTGCCAGAGGTAGACGATGAAGGCGAGCTTGGCCTCGTGGTACAGCGGTACCCTGGTGGGGGGGCGCACACACGCACAAGGGCAACACGGCACAGCAGCACGTGTTAGGCGTTCGATGCCCATGTCACACAGTCACACGCGTCACTTTCGCGGGCCTCATTGTCACATGCGTCACTGTCGCATGCCCCATGTGATCATTCTTAGGGAACACTTATGAGGGCAAGGACGCGGTGACCCGGTGACGGGGATAAGAGCGGCGTCAGCACTCACCAGTCCAGCAGCGGCGCGGCGAGACCCTCGAAAAGGGCCAGCAGCGATAGTAGCACCCTGCGGTGGGGAGCGGCGGAATGGGAGACGAATTGAAAAAGGGCGGTGATTAGTCGCATGGGGATGGGATGGAAGATGACGGCAGGATAGTCATGGAACAACGGGCGAGGGATGACGGGGAAGTGAAAGGCGTCACGAAGAGAACGGAGCAAGGACGCGGAGGATCATAGGCAAGGAGGCGAGGTGCTACGGAGCGGCTAACATGGCGAGTCTGAGGACAAGACGAGGCGTGCAGACCACACCAGCATATGGGGGAGGATGGTGCAGGCGGGGGTGGGGAGGACGGAGGGGACAGAGGGAGCGAGGGAAAGGCGCAGTGCAGCACGAGGGGAAGGCGCGGGGTGCAGCACGAAGGGAAGGCGGAATGCGGCACGGACCAGAACTGGCAGAAGAAGAGGAGCTCGTGCATGTCAGGTCGGCGTCGCTGCATGGCTTTGAAGCAGCGGTACGCCGGATACCCGTGCGCCGCCACCATGCTGTGAGGGGATAGCGAGAGAGAAGGATTCGGGAGAGGGCAAAGAAAAATGGTGTGAATTCGAGAGCTCATGGCCACGATGGTGCGGCGCGCGGGATGGTTACTCGGCTGGAGCTTGAAGCGCAATGCGTTGACGCTGCGGCGCAATGCCACGGTCGAGACGGCGACTATTATCGAATGCGGCCTGTCGACAAAGAAAGCAGGTGGTGGCGGAGGCAAAAAAAAATCCCGTGCATGGTACTCAAAACGTCGAATCGCTCTCGTCGTTGCAGCATCGGAGGCTGTATCGGAGGCTGCGGGAGCCGGCTGGAACAGCGTGATGGGGCTAGCAGGTGAGCTGTAAGAGCAGTGAGCGATGACGTTAGGGTGTCGAGAGGCGCTGGTGGGTAGACGGTGTTCGTCCGTTGAAGCGCTTGAAAACGCGGAGGTTTGAAATGTCTGCCACCACACGAATGAGCGGCTTTCACCTAGGATACATAGCCTTTATGAAAACGCGTCAGCTACGGTCGTCGCCGTTTTGTGCGAGGTTGGTTAATCCGGCACGTAAAACAGAGAGTTGATAAGCGTTAACAAAAACTCGATCGCTTACGTGGCAGCTGTCAGAAGTGGTCTCGGCAGCATGTTGCACGACGACGCTAGCGACGATGCGAGCGACGATGCGACAGCCCGATGGTAGATGTACGAGGAAATTTGACCACTAGTGGAGCACGCAGATGATGTCTAACGAAAAGCAACACCGGTGAACGGGAGTGAAGGCGACAGCGAAGAATCACGGCTCGCGGTCAAGTGCGTGAAGCTAGTAACCAACCGTAATATAAGCCTAATCCGTGCCGCAGCGTTTGGAGTTCACCCTTCCCGGGGCATCAACTGAATGACAGAGCTAACAGAGCAGTAAGTACGAGTTACGAGCGATAGTCAAGAATTAGAATTGAAGGGAATACGGCTCTGCCTCAATGAGCTATGGGATGGGATGATAGCCTTGAAGCTGCCGCAGCAGCACAGAACCACTTCCAAGTTTTATTCAGCGCGGGATTCCCCCCCCCACGAAGGTCCAGTCCGGCCTGGTCATGTCACTGATGGGATGGGATGTTTTGCTGCTGGCGGCGGCGGAACCCGCTCCGCTGCAGCCACGGCGGAACAGAGGAAGAATTGCGCGGGAACCCAACAAGCGGTGTTGTTGAGGGCAAGCGCTTCGAGAACTCGCATTGGCGGGAAAGCCAACGGTTGCAAACATCCCCGTAACAAGACAATCTGTAAGGAACACACTATTAGAGACTTACGACTACATTATTGCAAGAGTTGTGAAATTCATTCATCCGCTCTCATAAAGATCACTGTAGATATTTCTGTCATTTCAGATGTACTGTTTGACGAGATGAGACTGATGAGTGCCGTCTCTGTGGTGAGAGATCAGGGAGAGACAGTAGTTTGGTTTCCACCAGGATGCAGGCATCCCATTCGCACGAGCGGATTAAAGCCCGCGTCCCAAATTGCGGGCCGCGAGGGTCAAGTTTTTAAAACTTGACGAAGTTGAGTGTCCAAGCTTTTGAAAGTCACGCACTTGCAATTTGGGACTTTCGAAGACAGATTCACTCACCAGGGGGAAAACCGAGGGTTGGCTGGGTCTCGCGAAAAAAACGAACCTAGACGAAATCGGAAACTCTCGCCAAAGCCCACACCAGAAAAACTCCCTCTGGTCAACTTTTAAAAGCATGAACAATTTGGGCCGCCGGCTTTAAGTGCGGAAGATGAGAGTTAAATAGAAGCAGTTGAGCAGGGAGGGCAGCGCTAAGCGTGCAGGTGCTCATGCGCTTATTTGTGCAGCACATGCCTCAGCATTAGCACCAGTGGTTGCGGTGCGGAAGGTGAGATTGAAGTAGAACCAGTTGGGCAGGGAGTGCAGCAGCACTAAGCACGCAGCTACTCATGCACTCATGGCAGTTGCTCATGCACTCATCTCTGCAGCGCGCGCATGCACATCAGCAGCAGTGGGAGTAACAGGGAAGGTGAGGGTGAAGTAATAACAGTTGAGCAGGGTGGGCAGGGCGAGGATGCTCATGCGCTCAACTCTTCAGCACATGCTTCAGCACCAACACAAGAGGGCTCAGTGGGTGCAGCGCGGAAGGTGAGGGTGAAGTAGAAGCAGTTGGGCAGGGAGGACAACACATGTGTGCAGTCAAGGCATGTCTCATGCACTCATCTCTTCAGTGCAAGCATCATCATTGACATCGGCACGAGCGGGCGAGTTGCGGAACGTGAGAGTGAAGTAGAAGCAGCTGGGTAGGGAGGGCAGCACTAAGCATGCAGCTACTCATGCTTCACCTCTGCAGCACATGCATGCACATCAGCACAAGCGCATGCCTCAGCATGAGCACCAGTGGGTGCGGCGCAGAAGGTGAGGGTGCAGTAGCAGTTGCAGTTGCGCAGGGAGGGCAACACTAAGCATGAATGAATCCAGTCATGGCAGTTGCTCATGCACTCATCTCTTTAGCGCAGGCATCAGCGCTAGTAGGTGCAGTGCGGAAGGTGAGAGTGAAGTGGAAGCAGTTGGGCAGGGATGGCAGCACGCAGCACATTCACCAGCATCAGCAGAAGAGGGCTCCGTGCGTGCGGTGGGGAAGGAGAGGGTGAAGTAGAAGCAGTTGGGCAGGGAGGGCAGGGCGAGGCTGGCCATGGGATGGGCGAAGGGCATGCGGAAGGGGTTCAGCTGCACCTGCCATGAGGTAAGGCGAGAGGAGAGGGGAGAGGGATGGGAAGGGACAATGGAAGGGACAGAAAGGATCAGGAGGTGCAATGTAAGCAGTGGCGAGGGCAGTGAGGCGAGGGACTGAGGACATGAAGCACGGTTTGGCTGTCTGCATTCATTTTAAAACACTTCCGTCAGGATCTCATTCCTATTCTACCATGAACACCCAAAACCTAGATCAGATCAACTTGGTGATGCACCCAAAACCAAACTTGGCCCCATTATTTGGTCCCCATCCCATAGTGATTGGGAGATTTGTGGACCCCCTATAATCTCCCAAGGAAGAGTATTTTCCTTGGGCTCACCATTAACCAAGATTGTTGAAGACCCCAGCAACTTTCCAACCCAAGGAGAATACTTTTGGTCAAGTTCCTTACCCACCCACCTTTCCCTCTCAGACCTATCTACACCATTTCCAGCTCCCTTCCCATTCACAGCTGCTATATTCAGCGGTCCTCCTTCCCTTCCCCTATATTCTCCTTGAAGCCCCAACCTACCTCGCTGATAACCGGCTGCAGCACCACGGCCGCTGCAGCCCCTCCCTCGCCACGCATTTCCACCGCAGCAGCCAGCGAGCAGAGAGCCTCCCTGGCCTAACAGTTGTCTTCTTAAAGCCCCCCTTACCTCGCCGACGACAGGTTGCAGAACCGCGGTCGCTGCAGTCCCTCCCGTGCCCTCCGTTTGCACCCCCCCTCCTGCGCCGCCTCGTTGCACCTCAGCAGCCAGCGAGCACAGCGCCTCCCGGGCTCTCTCTGCTGCCTCGTGGCTGTAGTCCGTGATTAGCGCTGGCAGCCTGTACTGCAACATGAGAACCTGGTGGGAGAAGAGGGATGGGGCACGGTGCTGTGAGTACTGGCTGAGGCACTGTGGCGCCCGTGATGCCTCCCTGGCCCCATCTCTCCTGCCCCGTGGCTGTAGTCCGAGATGAGCGCTGGGAGCCTGTACTGCAACATGGCAGGCTGGCGCAGCATGAGGGTCTGGTGGAAAGAGGGATGGGGCAGCACAGACTGATTGTGCTGCCTGTGGCGCCTCCCTGCCTCCTTGTCCCCGTGACTCTCTGTGCTTCGTCGTGGCTGTAGCCCGTGATGAGAGCTGGCAGCCCACCGTGCAGCATGAGGGCGTGGGGGGGAAAAAGGTGGGGAGACAGGCAGGTAGCACGACGGTCTAGCAAGGAGCTCTCTCTGCTGCCTCGTGGCTGTGGGCCGTGATCAGTGCTGGCAACCCACCCCGCAGCATGAGGGTCTGGTAGGGGCAGAAATGGGTAGGGTGGTGTGACGCTATTTTTGTTATCAATAACAGAGAGGGGGGGGGGGGTGGAGGCAGGGTGGTGTGATGTGAGGACTTGGAGGAAATGGGGGATTCAGTGCAGGCACCAGTCATCCCATGCGCACAGGTGACTTTTGAGTCGACTCAAAAGTGTCGTGTGCCATTGTAACGAGGTGACTTTTGAGTCGACTCAAAAGTCACCTTGGAGGAAATGGGGGATTCAGTGCAGGCAGCAGATATCCCATGTGCACAGCACTGTACATTTGATACATTGAGGCGCCTGCCTCACCCCATTCCCCTCCTTCCACAGCTAACCGTGCATCCCACCCACCCAACCCCTCCCCCCCCCCCCCCTCTTCCTCCCTCTTTTCCTCTCACCAGCGTGTCTCGCCAGGAGGGGAAGGCAGGCAGGCCCGCGTTGGGGAGGAAGAGCAGCGCAGGGCAGTGGCAGGACGGGTGGCAGGACGGGTGGTGCGGATGGGATGACTGGTGGCGATGGGACGGCTTCTGCGGCTGGTCGCTGTGATGGAGAGGTGATGCGTGCTGCGAGTGGTGCAGTGAGGTGCAGGGGCACACAGCAGTAGTGGTGGGAGGGTTGGCGAGCTCAGAAGAATGGGGAGGAGCGAGTGGCGAGCAGGCAAGGGAGGGCAGCACGTGGTGGTAGAGGCCACGGTGGAAGTGCACTGCCATGCCTGCTGCTTTTGGTGGTTGTGGCTCGGCGAATTGTGGTTCGGAATGTTGTGGTTCGGCAGGTTGTGGCTCGGCAGGTTGTGGCTCGGCAGGTTTTGGTTCGGCAGGTTGTGGCTCGGCAGGTTGTGGTTCGGCAGGTTGTGGCTCGGAAGGTTGTGGCTCGGCAGGTTGTGGCTCGGCAGGTTGTGGCTCGAAAGGTTGTGGCTCGGCAGGTTGTGGTTCAGCAGGTTGTGGCTCGGCAGGTTGTGGCTCGGCAGGTTGTGGTTCGGCAGGTTGTGGTTCGGCAGGTTGTGGTTCGGCAGGTTGTGGTTCGGCAGGTTGTGGTTCGGCAGGTTGTGGTTCGGCAGGTTGTGGTTCGGCAGGTTGTGGTTCGGCAGGTTGTGGTTGGGCAGGGTGTGGCTCGCAAGGCTCAAAGGCGGGAGGATGCTGTAGGAGAATGCGCTTGCCGTGCCTGCAGAGGAGGTGTGGTGCAGGGGCAGCGGGGAGGTGTGGTCGAGGGGGCAGTGAGGAGGTGCGGTGTGGGGGCAGTGAGGATGACAGAGCATGTGAGGATGACAGAGCATGTGAGGATGACAGAGCATGTGAGGATGACAGAGCATGTGAGGATGACAGAGCATGTGAGGATGACAGAGCATGTGAGGATGACAGAGCATGTGAGGATGACAGAGCATGTGAGGATGACAGAGCATGTGAGGATGACAGAGCATGTGAGGATGACAGAGCATGTGAGGATGACAGAGCATGTGAGGATGACAGAGCATGTGAGGATGACAGAGCATGTGAGGATGACAGAGCATGTGAGGATGACAGAGCATGTGAGGATGACAGAGCATGTGAGGATGACAGAGCATGTGAGGATGACAGAGCATGTGAGGATGACAGAGCATGTGAGGATGACAGAGCATGTGAGGATGACAGAGCATGTGAGGATGACAGAGCATGTGAGGATGACAGAGCATGTGAGGATGACAGAGCATGTGAGGATGACAGAGCATGTGAGGATGACAGAGCATGTGAGGATGACAGAGCATGTGAGGATGACAGAGCATGTGAGGATGACAGAGCATGTGAGGATGACAGAGCATGTGAGGATGACAGAGCATGTGAGGATGACAGAGCATGTGAGGATGACAGAGCATGTGAGGATGACAGAGCATGTGAGGATGACAGAGCATGTGAGGATGACAGAGCATGTGAGGATGACAGAGCATGTGAGGATGACAGAGCATGTGAGGATGACAGAGCATGTGAGGATGACAGAGCATGTGAGGATGACAGAGCATGTGAGGATGACAGAGCATGTGAGGATGACAGAGCATGTGAGGATGACAGAGCATGTGAGGATGACAGAGCATGTGAGGATGACAGAGCATGTGAGGATGACAGAGCATGTGAGGATGACAGAGCATGTGAGGATGACAGAGCATGTGAGGATGACAGAGCATGTGAGGATGACAGAGCATGTGAGGATGACAGAGCATGTGAGGATGACAGAGCATGTGAGGATGACAGAGCATGTGAGGATGACAGAGCATGTGAGGATGACAGAGCATGTGAGGATGACAGAGCATGTGAGGATGACAGAGCATGTGAGGATGACAGAGCATGTGAGGATGACAGAGCATGTGAGGATGACAGAGCATGTGAGGATGACAGAGCATGTGAGGATGACAGAGCATGTGAGGATGAGGAGTTAGGGCATGGGGATGGGTGGCATGTGCAGCAAACACAGGGGATAAGTGGCACATGGAACACGCACAAGGTGCATACGGGTCACACATGCACCACATGTCTTCCCTCAATGCACTCCTCTCAACGCATTCCCCTCAATGCACTCCCCTCAACGCACTCTCTTCTCAATGCACTCCCCTCAAGCGTCACTCCATTGAGCTCCAGAGCTGGGTCTCACATGTGGAGTGGAATGGCGGGGCCAATGAGGTGCACACACGTATCCATTCCAGGCAGCAGCACTCTCAGCTCCGCCAGTGCAGCCGCCTCTTGAGCCTCCCTGTCCGCCCCTGCAGGTGCAGTGCGTGGTGAGAGGCATGGTGAGAGGCATGGTGAGAGGCAGTGTGTGGTGGGAGGGAGAGGGAGTGTGTGGTGAGAGGCATGCCAGGCCGCCTCTTGAGCCGCCCTGTCCGCCCTGCAGGTGCATGTGTGATGAGAAACATGGTTATATGCACGGTGAGGAGTGTGTGGCGGGAGGCAGTGCGTGGTGAGAGGCATGCCAGGGCGGGGAGTGCAAGGGTGGTTGGTGAGGGGTTTGGGGGGAGGAAAAAGGTTGTGGGGGAGGGCTGTGGCTCAACTGTTGGCATGCAGAACATGTCGTTAAGTGAAATAGAGTTTCCTTTGTCCCCTGATATCGGTTTCGTGGTGTAGTTGGTTATCACGTCAGTCTAACACACTGAAGGTCTCCGGTTCAAGTCCGGGCGAAGCCATTTATTCTTGCCCCGTTTTGACCCGACATGGATTCCACATTCCACATGTTTGCCTGCCTGTTTGCCTGTTTGCCTGTTTGCCTGCCTGTTTGCCTGTTTGCCTGTTTGCCTGCCTGCCTGCCTGTTTGCCTTCCTGCCTGCCTGTTTGCCTGCCTGTTTGCCTGCCTGCCTGCCTGTTTGCCTGCCTGCCTGCCTGTTTGCCTGCCTGCCTGCCTGTTTGCCTGCCTGCCTGCCTGTTTGCCTGCCTGCCTGCCTGTTTGCCTGCCTGCCTGCCTGTTTGCCTGCCTGCCTGCCTGTTTGCCTGCCTGCCTGCCTGCCTGCCTGTTTGCCATGCAGTGGGGTTGTGAAGTCACAAGCGCCTACGTGCGAGAATGCATAGCAGTCTGACGGAGTGAGGCAAGGCAATCAAGAGGGAAGGACAGCTGGTACGAATGGAAATGGTCGAGACAGAGGAGATGATAGAGCTCTAAGGAGTGAGGCACAGCAACCGATGGGGAGGGCAGCTGAGATAAATGGAGATGGGGGAAAAGGGGGGATGATGGAGCTGCGAAGACAAAGCCGGCAGCACAGAGAGTCTAGTATGGGGCGTGGAAGGAAGAAGAGCGGCTGGGGGAAATGAGCAAGATGGATGATTGTTCGGCATATGTGGCCTAGAAACAGAGGAAGAGGGGGTGATTATTGCACCAAGCACATGCATGCGCACCAAGCACGTGGACGCAGAGAGAGGGGCGAGTGGTCAGCCCACACCGCCGGCACTGCTGCTGCCCCTCTGCATATGCGCTCTGATCCGCTCCCCTCTGCTCCTTCTCAGCTGCAGGCGTGTGGCCCGGGGCTTGAATCGTGGTAGGGACGGGAGGAGGCGGCGGGGCGGGCTGGAGGAGCAGGTGGAGGGCGAGGAGGATGGTGAGCGGCTGGAGAAGAAGGGGGGGGGCGCAAGGGGGGTAAATGGGTGAGAGGGAGATTCTTGCTAGAATTGCAAGGGGTGCAGGAGCAGGTGAAGGCGGGAGGAGCAGGTGAAGGGCGGGGCGGATGGTGAGCGGCTGGTGGGGGGGGGGGGAGTGGGTGACTGGGGGTGTTGGGAGTGGGAAGTGTGGTGGGAGTACGGTGGGGTGGGGCGTGCAGTACGGATAGTGGATGAATGGCTCGTTGTTGAACAGAAGGAACGAAAGAAACGATTTCCTTTAAAGAAAGACAAAGCCAATGTTCCAAAATACTTCCTTGCATACCAGACCACGGAACCTGGGTTTTTGTGGGCTCTAGGGTGGTGTGGTGCCTACGCGGGCTCCTACCCACCCTAGAGCCCATTCGCATTGGTTGTAATTCGGTTTGCACTAGGGTTGTTTGTGGGCTCTACGGTGGGGTACCCTCACACCCATACCTCACCCTGACCTCACACCCATACCTCATCCGTACCTCACGCCCATACCTCACGCCCATACCTCACGCCCATACCTCACACCCATGCCTCACACCCATACCTCACACCATACCTCACACCCATACCTCACACCCATGCCTCACACCCATACCTCACTCCATACCGTGTGCAGCAGCAGAGCAGCGGGCGAGTGGAGGGGAAGGCCCCTCCAAAGGTAATAGTGGCGCCAGGAGAGCGGGGAGAAGGGGGGAGGCGGGAGGGAGGCGGGCAGGGTGGGGTGAACGCGTGGGGGATGAGAGAGCGTGGGCAAGGGCGCAGCACAAGAGGCGGAGGGGGCTGATGGGCAGATTGGCGAGAGTGGAGCAGACTGGCCCTGTTTAGGCTGGCCCTGTTCAGTGGCGGGTAGAGACTCAGGAGCGGAAGAGCAGCCTGCACGGCAGCATGGGCGATGAGAAAAGGGGAAGCAAGTGTTGGGTTTGAGAAGCGAGCATGACTTGGGCGAGAGAATGAGCTTGGAGAGCAATAGAGGCTAAGGAAAACAAAGCAGCAGAGGAGAGGCTGAGAGGTGAATGCAGGGGAGACAGACAGGTACCAACAGTGAGAGGGTGAGGAGAGGGTGGGAAAGAATGGGTGAGGGTGGGAGAGAATGGAGAGGGTGGGAGAAAGTGGGAAGGAGCCTTACGGACCGCAGAGGGCAGCGTAGGGACCGCGGGCATGCAGGTGGAGGGAGGTGAGGACGGAGCACACTGTGTGACGGCCTTGCTCCACCTGCACCCCGCATGCACATGACACGCACCCAAAATGTAGCAGACAGCCACAACATGCCACGGGGGAAGAGATGAGGCGACGACGAGATTAGGCACGGAGGGGCGTTATGTTCATTGCAGTGTGAGCATTGGCACATGAGCAGTGCGACATGGAGTTCATGGGCAGCACACCACAGCACCGCGCCGCACCGTAGGCATGCACGGATGGCGAACCCAGTTCAAACCAGTTTAACTTTTGCCCGGGCCGGACCTTCGATTTAAGGTTGCTGGTCCGATTCGGGCCGAACCAGGTTCAGCCCACCGGACCGGTTGCAGCCTTGCCGAATGTCAAACCAGGCCGGTTCGCCCCCAACCATCACGACGAACCTCGCACGGCCCAGCCAATACCCTCGTGACAAATTTCGTGAGGGCCCTTTTAGGGCCGCGCGATCCATAGCTGGAGCTCATTTTTGGCTCCAGCCTGGTTCCTAGCACCATTACACTCACCATTACACTTTTTTTTGTCCAATTTGCATAATTAGGATATATTCGAAACTACAGCACATACAGGATTCGCAATACTCCACATATTTATATTTCTGACCATAAAGCTTGTCATTTCTTGAAAAATCATAGTCCGCCAGTATCCGCCCGAAGCGAATGGTCGACGATCGAATATGTGCGCGGCGTAGCATGCCACTTTAAATTCCTATATTATTCAAGGATACAGTCGAATACTGAATACCGTGAGATACCGACTTATTTGTTTGCAGGTTTGAATGTGACTAGAACGAGAGATTAGGGTGGGCCAAACTTGAACTGGCCCGACCCATGCGTACAAAGGTTCGCCTCAAACCTCTAACTGCCCTGGCGCCGGTACAAATGGCCGAACCTGGGCCCGAGAATTCTCATTCAGCTCGACCCTGCTGGAACCAGGTCCGGCCCGGTTGTGCAGTCTGTCCAAGTAAGTTCGACCTGGGCAGAACCAGGTTAGGCCCATGCCCATTGCCCAAGCCTACCACACCGCACAGGAATGACGGAGAGGTGCAGGAAGGGGAATGGCAGGTCCATGACAGCACAGCACTCCACAACACCGCACCTCACAGCACAGCACTACACTGCACCTCACAGCACAGCACAGCACTACACTGCACCTCACAGCACAGCACGGCACAGTACAGCACAGCACAGCACAGCACAGCACAGCACAGCACAGCACAGCACAGCACAGCACAGCACAGCACAGCACAGCACAGCACAGCACAGCACAGCACACCACACCACACCGCAATGCAGCACAGCACAGCACGGCATGGCACAGCACAGCAAAGTACAGCAAAGCACAACACGGCACGGCACGGCACGGCACGGCACGGCACGGCACTGCACGGCACGGCACAGCAAAGTACAGCAGAGCACAACGCAGCACAGCACCACTCTGCACCGCACCGCACCTGGATGACAGACTGGTGCAGGAAGGGGAAGGGCAGGTCCATGACAGCCGGTGCTCCCTGCAGCTGCAGCGCCAGGCGATGACACTCCCCCTCCTGCTCGTGCTGCCGCCAGTGGGCCGCCTGAGGGGATGCATGGTGTGGGACATGGGTCATGGGGCATGGAGAAAGGGCATGGGGCATGGGGGAAAAGGGATGGGCCAGGCGAGCGCACTCCCCCTCCTCTTCGTGCTGCTGCTAGTGCGTCGCCTGATGAGATGCATGGGGAATGGAGGATGGGGCATGGCGCATGGGGCATGAGCTATGTTGGATCTGACGCTCCAGCGATGGCACGTCGTCCAGCATCCGGACGCGAACGTCGGACGCTGGACGTTGGGCCAAAAACAAATTGGGCTGCCCCGGAAAAAAAAACAACAAACGCGCGAAATTGAAGGACGATTTCAACGCGATCTACTTCGCTTTTGGGGCTGCAAAAACGCAACACCACCAAATCACATTTCAGCCGCATTGCATCTACACAACCCATCCACATTGACATCCAACAGAGATACAAATCTCTTGGAGGTCGTCAACCCCTTAGTTACGCGACCCTCTTTAGCTTCCTAACCCTAGAGTCCGCCAACTTAGTCTAAGAGCACGATTAAAGCATGACAACTTCCAATCACGGATGTCGCCGGTAGTCCTGGACGGATCCTACCATAGAAGCGAATTCCAGCAGCCCTAAGTACACGACTATCATGGATAATTTATTAATCTAGAGATTTTTTTCTGTTTTGTGCTTGCTGTTGCCAAAACCCCCCCTCCCCCTCCTGTTCCCTGGTGTTTTTAAGGCTGCCCGGGAAATTTTTGTACCCCTGCCCGGACAAGCGTCCGGGGAACGTCTGACAGGTGGGCCTGGCCGGTTCAGCGTCCGGACGCTTGCATCCGGACGCACGCGTCCAAGACCCTGGACACGTCAGATCCAACAAAGGGCATGAGGCATGGGGCATGTGGGGTAATGGGTCAGACGAGAACATTCCTCTTCCTGCTCGTGCTGCCGCCAGTGCGCCGCCTGATGGGATGCATGGAGGGATGGGGAAGGGGAACGGGGCAAGGGGCGGCATGTGTCATGGAGCATGGGGGGATGGGGCATGGGGCAACGGTAATGAAGCGTGTGGATTGGGACAAAGGACGAACCGTTTGGTATAAGGGGAGAGGAGAAGGGGAGAGAAGTGGGGGGGGAGGGGGCGGAGGAGAAGGGCGGAGAAAGCAACGAGGGCCTTGGGCGCACGGCAGTGAAGGAAGAAGGGCTGGGGGGCGAACGGGGGGCGAACGAGCGAATGGTGGGTCCTCCGGCGGCTGCTGGCGCGCGTGAGCTGCGCGCGTGAGCTGCGCGAGTGGTATGATCTCGCGCTGCACCAGCGGGCCCTACAGTCGCTACTTGCTCCGTCGTCTCACTACCCCTTACAACGCACACCTGCTGCTACGGCACGCACCTGGTGTCGCCTGCTACAGTAGATGACGACGCCGCACTCGCCGCAACGAATACGGCCGTCGCATGGCGACGCGCACACGTGGCACTGCCACGTCATCGCGAGCGCAACTCAGAGAGGCGACAACGTGGCACTATGGAAGCTGCGGCTGCAGCGCATGACGGCACTCTCGAGGATTCTCTAATACCAACTAGTGAGGGAGCGCTGTCGGTTTGCCTGTCGCCGTGACTGCCGCAACAGCCACGTGAAAATTCAGTGGCGCGAAATCCCGTCACAATGTTCCGAACCCTGGTCGCGTAAGCACTAGCTGCGCGCGCGCGCTGGCAGTGATTGTGCGTGTGCTGCTGCTAAAACGCGCGCGCTAAGGAGGGGCGTGGCGGCAAACGGGCTGGGTAGCGCTGGCTGCGATCGGGGGCCTATGGGCGGACGGCGGGAGGGACAAGGCTAGGGAGGACGATAGGCTAGGTTCCTAGAAAGTACCTAGCTCTAGGAGCCTAGCTCTAGGACCCTCTGAGATAGGTTCCTCCCATCTCAGCGGAGAGGAAGCGGAAGTGACTTCGCAGGAGGGAAGTAGCAATGTCGAGTGAGGGGGTATACTATATACTGTGCACCTCACTATTAGCTAGCACATCTACCTAGGATATATATGTATATATATGGCATAATATACCCTTTTTCAATGAGTGTTCTCAAGGCCACCAAGGGCTTCAATACCGTATTAAAGCTCAAGGCCCAAATTGCGGGCCGCGCAGGGCAAGATTATTAATCTTGCACACTTACCGTATTACCCCGGATAGTAGCGCATATGCGCTTATAATAATGGTACATTCCGCTGTGGACACTGTCCCAATCGATGTGTCCCAATCGTTTCTACTGCACTGCATCGTATTACACCAAATTGCACCCTAGTTTCGAAATTTTCGCGTCTCTGGTTTAGTTCGGTTCGGAGCGGTACACTCCATTGGGACTAGGGCTGACGATATCAGACTATTTTAGTCTGATTGTCTGAAATTTCAGACTATTTTCCTGACATTCCTGATTTTTCAGAGTTGGCTGGTTTTGAAAAATGAGTGCTTCAGACTAATGGTTTTTTCGATACTGAAAAATTCAGGGAACTTGCTTACCGGATAATGAGTTTTCATACTACAGAGTACGAACTCCCCTTCGCCATACCTGTTACTTCGAGGAAAACCCATCCCTCCGAACTTGTGCAAAAGGTTCGTTAGTAGGAAAACCTGCCGTAGTCTATGAATTATAAAATTTTCAGAGTTATACTTCTCTGGTTCCTGAGAAATCAGAGTATTCACTTTTTGGAAAATGGGCCTCAGACTAAAAAAAATTGGGGGGCCAAAAAAATCAGAGTGGTTTTATTCGAAAAGTCAGCCCTGATTGGGACACATCGATTGGGACAGTGTCCACAGCGATATGTACCCTAAAATCAAGTTTTATAAAGGGGGGTGCTTGTAAACGAGTATCGGGGATAAGCGCATGCGCCTGTAAGAGGGAAAAATGAAATTTGTATTTAAAGTACCGAATTGAAGCTCTCTGTAAGGCGAACATAACCAAACGTTCGATCACGTGGTTTCATGCATGAGTTTCAGGGGAAACCAACCGCGATTCGGGTTCGGGGCTCACATTCACGTCCAGAAGCAACGAACCTGCCGTTGCTGATACGAATCCTGTTGTGCGGTCCAATGGCGTGCTCATGCGCCGATTCCACCTGAATCCTCTAGAAGGGGGTGGAATCATTCATGCCAGCGCTGACGCGTATCCTGCCGTGCGGCCCAATCACAGCGTCATGCCATGCCATCGCAGCGTCGTGCACGCCATGCATGGTCCTCTGCGGGTGTAGGCGGGGGTTTCCTGCTTGTCATCGTCGAGGAACTCGAGGCGCCAAAGCGAAGGGGTCCCTCCCAACTCCATTTCAATCCTCATTCTTGCACATTCTAACCACAGTTTTCGTTTCTCTCCCGCCAGGCTGCTTCAGCCATGGCGGAATTCTCAGGCACCCATTTCCTCTTCAAGAACAAGCCTAGGAAGCCCGCGTTTACCGTTAGCGCTAACGGGTGGTACAGCCGTGTCGCACCTGATCCCCCCGAACCTCCACAGCCTCCTGCACCTCCTATCCCCCCTGCTCCTCCTGCTCCTCCGTCACCTCCCGCGCCTCCTGCTCCTCCGAATCCTCCTCCTCTGGAAACCTTAGGCAACCTGCCCGTGCTCCGGCTTTGCCCGTATCTCCCTCGGACGTTCACCGAATGGCTGGAAGAGCCTGTCAGAGACAAGCCTGAAGTTGAATCTGCGTCGGCACCACGCTGGGGCGAACCCGGAAACTGCGCGTGGGATGAATCTGCTGTGGGCGCTGACGACGAAGTGGAAATCGAGGGCGCGGAGGGCGACAAGGCCGGCGGGGCGGACAACGAGACCGCTGTTATGTGATGCTATCATTTGCATTCATGTCTGTCTGCCTCCCATCACATGTTCGTGCGTTGCATGCGTTGTGTGAGCGTGTGCAAGAATTTGTGTTTGGTGTGTTTTGGATTTTCTGAGTATGTGTGAATGTTATTTGGCTTGAGCAGATATCTGAAGTGACTCCTCTGCTCAAGAGGTTTCCGACGAACCAAGAATCGTCGCGATCGGAGCAAGAACGACGAAGTTATAATCGTTCGAAGTTTTGATTGGGATGCGACGACTTTGGGAAGTTGTGAAGTGACTCAATATGGGGTACAGAGTTTTGGGGGTTGGGAAATTCGTTCCCATCACTGTAGATGCTGCCAAGTGGTTGGGAGAAACCAAAATGGGTTGGAAAGTGTGGCCAACTTGGGTGAGGTTGATTGTGGAGGTTGGGAAAATGACAAGAGTCAAAGTTGGGGTGCCTCTAGGGAGGGAAATTGTGTGGTATGGGGTTTCCATGGTTGGGGACTCTCTTGGGACCTTTCCTCTCGTCCTCCTCTTCCCTCCTACCTGGTTTATTGCTACTATAACTTTCTTGTGTGTTACTTGTGAGTGAATTGTGACTGAGTTAAGTTTCTATGGCAGCATACCCCCTAGTGCGCCGAAATTCATAACTCGAGGTATACTCCATCATTTGATACGATTCAAATTGGGATAGGTAGCCACGTTAAAGGGCTACAACATACTCGAGTTTCAAAGAATTATAACAGTGCGTTGTTCGTCGAAGGCGTTTCTTGTGACGACGAATTTTCGGTCCAGAATTCTAAGCCAACGATTTTGAGAAATTTAGGCACCTAATCTTCGTAGACTCCGTCCTTAGTCTCTAACAACCGCCACAGAGGCTGGCACCGAGGCGGGCACGGAGGCCGATGTGTTCCCCGAGGGTGCTGTGGGCGGCGATGACGGCGACGGAGTGGAATACTGGTCGCGCGCCGGCCTTCCTGAAAAAATGCCCATCCCTTCCTACCCACCGATTAACCGCAAGCGTCCCCACCCATCTTCCCAGAACCGAGATGCCCGCCCCCCCTCTCCCAGGCACAGGATGACGCAGCACAAGCGAAAGGGCTACACAGCCCAAGAGAAATTGAAGTGGTGCGCGCTCATGGAGCTGGCGGTTTCGGTCCGCGCGCTGTCACGTGAATCTGGTATCCATCGGAAGTGCCTGACGCAGTGGAAGAAGGAGGCCGCCATCCTCAAGGA